TGTTTGGGTTGGAAGGGACCTTAAAGCTCACCCAGTTCCAGCCCCCTGCCACAAACAGGGACACCTAAATCAGGTTGCTCCAATCCCCATCCAGCCTGGCCTTGAACACTGCCAGGGGTGGGGCAGCCACAGCTTCCCTGGGCAACCTGTGCCGGGGCCTTACCACCCTCATAGGGAAGACTTCTTCCTAAAATCCAGTTTGAATCTCCCCTCTTCCAGTTTAAAGCCATTTCCCCTTGTCCTGTCACTATATGTCCTTGTAAAAAGTCCCTTTCCAGATATCTTGTAGGCCCCTTTTAGGTACTGGAAGCTGCTCTAAGGTCTCCACTGAGCCTTCTCTTCTCCAGGCTGAACAAACCCAACTTTCTCAGCCTGTCTCCATATCAGAGGTGCTCCAGTCCTCTAAATATCTTCGTGGACTTCTCTAGACTTGCTTGAGGAGGTCCACGTCCTTGTTACGTTGGGGGCCCTAGGGCTGAACACAGGACTGCTGATTTGATCTCAAGAGGAACTGACTGTCAAAAATGCTGATGTGTTTTGGTTAAAATGTTCTGAGGGAATCCTGTCAATGTTTTTGATGGAATTGATAAACCCAGTTTGGTGCTCGCCTGCCCGCTGTGCTGGGGCTGTTGGCTCTTGGCACACACCCAGGGACTCAGCACGATGGGGGACTGCACTGTGCTGGGGTTCCTGCTCCCCATGCTGCAGGGCCCTCCCTCCAGCTGGGATGAGTAGGAGGCTGTCTGCTAGCAGGGGAAAAAAAAAACCGACTTGTTCTTTGTTTTGTTTTCTTTCTTAAGATTGAGTTGCTTTCCAAATCAGTTTGCCAGAGCAGGATTTTTTGTTAGCTTTGCCATGATTTGTGTGTGAGAAGAGCATGAGATGGGGGAAAAGAGAGGTTTTTAGAGGGAATGCTTTGCAGGGTGGGATTTCTGCTTTGTATCAGGTGCTGATAGGGTCTGAAGGAGGGTGCTGGAGGGACTGCATGCACAGATGGTGATAGACCGTACTGTACTAGTCTGAGAAAATGATTAATCAGTACTACAGGGATTTATTCTAGTATTTAGTTCTTTTAATTTAGCCTTATGTTTCTCTGCTCACGAGTTCTGTAAGAAAACGTTCTAAATGTGATGCTGATTCAGGGTCCTGGTGATTTTTGGAAGTAATCAAAACAGTTCCCTAACTGTTTTTTTGGGGTTGTTTTGGGGGGGGGGGGGGTCTTGTTGCAAATGGCAATGAAGAGAACAAATGTTCTATCTATGTTTCTATTGCAAGTTGCATAAATATGGCTCAGACTTTAATTAAGGGGACTTGGAGAAGTAATACTGAGAAATGGCAAATTATAAGTGAGCAAGATGCTTAATGCATGTTTTTCATAGTCCTGTTGCACTTGCATTGCTGTAGGCAACCTTCACTGATACTTTCCAAGTTTTGAGAGCTGATTTTATTAATCTCATAGATGGAAGCCTGTAAGTTCACAAATCTTTTTCATTTTCAGCAAAATTAAAAGAAAAAAAAATCAGCTGAAGAGGCATTATTTAAACCAGTGTGATTCATTAGTAAAGCTGGAACTTCTAGGCTCCTGATGCAGATCTTTGCTTTGTGAGGTACTGGAAGGTGTTGTCGCTCTTTGTTGAGGAGCAGTGCTGGAGGAAGAAAATACCTTCCAGTGAGCACAAGGCTCCTTCTCTTTTTCTCTTCATCTCTTGTTTAATGTTAGTCATCATTCACTGCTTGGCTCTTCCTCCTTGTCCTGTTCCATTCCCTCACCCAAGTCTAGATTTTAATACCCTGGTTTCTTTTAGTCCTTACCGTCTTGAAGTTTTCTCTCCCCTCTGTGCTCAGTTCTAGCACTTCTCATAGGCACTCCCTTCCCTGTGGGGCTTCTTATCCAAAAAGAGTAATCTTTTCTCCTAATCACAGCATGAAAACTTCATATTCAGAATGTGATTGCTTCCCCAGCTCCCCGTCTGTGATGGGGAGTCATTGTATTGTTGCTTCCTGCCTTCTGCCTCATTTTCCTCTTCAGTCTGTATTCCCTCTGTCCTGCTTGCTTTTTTTCCCCACCAACCTGCTGATGGTGATGCCCTCTTCCGATATACACATGCATTCCCTGGTCAGTACTTAAGTTTGTCCTGCTTCTTTCCTCCCATTTCTCTGTCATGCTCAGCTGTTTTCCTGGCTCTTTTCATTTGCCTGCCCCTCCAAGGTCTGTCTGTTATCCTCCCAGTATCTGAATTTTTTCTTTGTGGATATCAGTGGTGAAGTAACTGATGTTGCTGGAAAGGTAGACCTGAAATGTCTGTGGGGGCTCTTACCTCAATCCAGCAGGAGCTGTACTTGAAGGAAAAATAGCCTTGAGCCAAAGAACACTTGTTTGCTCCATCGAAATCGCTCGTTGGACCTGATGTGTGTGGGAGGTTGGAGCACAACTCTGAAGTCCCCAGAGATTTTACTAAAATTCTTAAATATTTTCTCTATTTGTAAATATGTATGTTGGAGGCAGGGAGAACTTGTCACCTGACACGGAGGGGACACCAGGTTCTCTTAGGGATCCTTGGCAGAATGATGATGGCAGTAAGTTGTAGTTACAATTAAAGCTTTCTTTTCTTAACAGGATATTGTGATTAGTATAGCACAGAACTTCTGCCAATCAGAATTGGTGTTATACAATTTATAAGTGGAGTAATACAGAATTTATATTATAACTTATAATTTCTAATCAGCTGGACCATCTGCAGATCGAGCCAGATCTTTACTACATGATTTGCTGTATCAATGTAACAGTCATATAATGAGTTGTTCCCTTAATCCTCAGAGGAAGGAGAGGATGATGGAGGCATCCCTGGCACTGCCTGGTCCTGAGTCTCACTGTCCAGGAGCAGGTTCGGTCCAAATTCCTGTCTTATGACTGATACCTGCTCAGTTTTATAGACAGTGTTCTGGGTGCTGTTAAGCTTCCCTGTTCTGTGGCAGGGCCACCACTACCACCTGGTGGCCCTGGGTTCCTGGAACTTTTCAAGGGCAGCAAGGGATGGAATAGTCAGCCTGGCATCCAGGAACCTTGATGCTGGGGGGGGGGGAAGAAGAAATCTGTTTGGTATGTCTGTTTGGTTCACAAGACTTTTAGGGCCTGGTAATGAGGGGAAAGAGAATAAATACATGACCCACTCGGTCACAGAGAATGGCCGCTTGCCTCATAAAGTGATGCTGGTTATGCTAACTGCATTGCCAGGGGTTGGGAGCAGCGGGTACCAGTCACAGAAAGACCCTATGAAGAATTGTTTTCAGCGTGAGCCAACCTAGTTTGGTAGAGACTTAACAGAGGCCTGAGTTTTACAATGGAAAGTTGTTGACGACACTGAAAATAATAGATGTACCCAGCCTCCCTCTTAATACTAGTGACAGATATTAGTAACAGTTAAGGATGTCTTATGCTGGAGGAATGACCTACAAGTGAGTGAAAGCCACAGTGTTAGCTTTTAGGATGGGAAGAAGTTACTTATGTTAATGAAAAGATGCAGTAAGAAGTAATGGCATGGTTAAAACAAAGTCACTTAAGGCTCAATATGTAGACTGTAAAGCAGTATGCTATAGGAAGTTTAGAATTAGTAGCAATTCTGTTTTCTAGATGTTTATGTGTTGACCAGATGAAATGCACAAATATCCTGTAAGAAGTGCTTTCCTATTAATAGGAACAATATTGTGAAGCAAAATAATCCTTTAATTTGTCTCTTCTCAGAAGAGTCTACGTTGGAGTTCTAGAAATGCAATATATAGCGTAACCTCAAGTGGTGTTCACAAAGCTGCTTGAAATAGAATGCTACTTCTCACTGTCACCCTTAAGTAGGACATAGGGCCCCTAAATACCCATGGAAAATGAAGTGCAAGGAGCAAAAACTAGGCTCCAATCCAAAGCCAGTTGAAGCTGATTAAGAGACTGCTTTTGGCTACCAAGGGCTCCGGTTTAGGCCACTAGAAAGCTAGAATTAAGTCTCAGATGTTCAGACAGACTTTTTTGGTTAATTAAGTCTGTGGGGTTTTGTTTTGATTCATGTTTGAGGTGCTGTCCATGATTACAGCAGATGTCCCAGTGTGTATACCACCTAAAGCATTATGTATTTTCACTCTTGGGTTCTAGAAATAGTAAGTGGGTAATAACACCTTAACTACACTTAATCACCAGATTATGTATTGTTCTGGTTTTATGGCTTGATGCTATACACTGTTAAGTCACAGATATACCTAGAGAATGATACATTTATTCCTATAAGATATGCCTACAGGTAGAATAAAGGCAAGGAAAATACCTTTACTTTTCAAACTCTGCAGTTCTTTGGCTGGTTTCAGTGTGCTTCTCCATTCTTCCCATGTTGCTAGATGTTTAAACTTTTCAAACAATGAAAGAGAAGAAAGGAATATGTTTCCCCAACAGGAAGTGTCTGTGGAGTTGCAAATATAAGTTAAAGTGAGAGGTGATGGTCTGCCTGACTCAGATGATTGTTTTACTTGTTTGCATGCTTATCTTCTCTTTTAGAAATATAAAATAAAATGTTTACATTTTATCCTAATGTTTTTTTGAGTGCAGTCCAAGTTAGTTCTTTCATTTTAATTCCTTGGCATGTTTCCTCGCTTAATTTTACAGCTTGGCCTGAACATTTATAGAAGTATGTAGCTATTAGCTATCTGCATGCTGTGTCTCCACCTTCTTCAAGTTGAGAAGAGTTGGAAAGTCACTTTTGGAGTTGGATCAAGATTTCATGCTAGATGTTAGTGGAAATGTAAAGCTTGTTTTCTTTCTAGCTGAGCTAAATTGCTTATATACTATTCGCCAATAAAACTGTCCACAGTAGAAAAAGATTTTTAAAAACTCTTACCTAGCCTTCTGTAAAGAATCATGAAAAGTGGGGCTTAGCACTTGGAGGTCAAAATGTTTGTGTCGGTATGGGGGAATAAATTGGAACTTGTTTTAATTAATTTCTTTTCTCTTTGACATCTAGGTTCCAGCAAGATGTGGAGTGACAGTCCGAGACAGCCTAAAGAAAGCTCTGATGATGAGAGGTCTTATTCCAGAGTGCTGTGCTGTTTACAGAATACAAGATGGGTATGGTTTGTGGGTGATGGTTTTTGCTCATAGAATCTCTTTTGGAGATACCCAGTATGTCTGATTTTATCCAACACCATGGAGGTTGTTTTCAGGGTTCAGAATAATAGGATACCTCGCGCTAAAACAACTTGTGCCTTGAAGATATGTCTAAAAAGAATGGCAGGCTCCTAGAAGAAAGATTGAATAATTTCAAGAATGGGCATGATATAGAGTAATATGAGTTTAGACTGCTGGCTGATTTATTAATCAAACTCATGCTAGCCAAACAAGCATTAAATTGTTTTTCTTAACTTTTTGAATGTATTTGACTTGGTTATAGTGCATTCTTAGCTAAAGATAGAGTTCCTGTGGGGGAAAAAAAATAGTTTCCAGCCCTAAAAAAGCTTGTAGATTATCTTAATGCACAAAGTTAGCCATCTCTTTGAAACTCTTGTGGAACAGGTGTTTTCACAAGCACTTTATTTGACAAGAATGTTACCTGTCGCCTTGGAACCAAGGCATCAGCCACTACTGGAGCTGACTGGAAAAACTGCATTTCTTTCATGCAGTTTGTCCAGGGAAGGTGTGCTTTCTTCAGTGTATGCTGAGCTTAATGTCCTGCTTTTAAAGTTTCCTGCCATTAGAGACTGGGTAGTAAACCCCTACAACTTTCTACCCTTTTACCTAATTCATATTGTGGGCCATGGCAGGCCTCTTGCACTGGTGCTAACAAAAAAGGCATTATTATTATTAATATTATTATGATTATTATACATAAAAGGCTTATTTACATTTTAGAGAGAAGAAGCCAATTGGCTGGGACACTGACATTTCCTGGCTCACAGGGGAGGAGTTGCATGTGGAAGTCTTGGAGAATGTGCCACTCACAACACACAATTTTGTATGTACTGGTTTTGAGATGTTGAGTAGGGTTAAATCAACTTTGTACTTTCAAATTCGAATTAACAGCTTTGAATAATATTTCGTGTCTGTGGAATATGGTAGGAGTTGCAAAAGAAGTTTTGAATCACAATAAGTGAATTAGATAAAATTGTAACTGAAGTGATGTTAGAGTACTTCATCACCCTTAAAACTTTCACGTTTGGATGGAATACACCCTCTAAAATCTATAAACGTAGGGGGTTTAAATCAGCACTGCATTGCAGAGCTGTAATAATAATCTACTATTTTTGTATTGCTGTATCTATAAAATGTATTCTGGGCCTCCCTGCTGGCTCTGCAGCAGCAATTAACTAATGAACTAACTATTCCCAGAGCAGTGCTGACATCATCAGTGATGCTAGTGCACAAATATGTTTTGACCTGATAAGGCACCAAGTAAATGAAACCTGCTAAACAGAATCCATCTGAACTGTTACAGCTACATACAAAATCCTGGAAATAATGTTTGTCACATTGACAAGAAAGACCTTTTATTTAAGTTAAAACCAGAGATTGTGTTTGCAAGCTGCTTAAATCATTTTACTCAAAGAAGCTAGTTTGGCTATGGCTAGTTAGATGAAACTGTAGTAGGCTTAACATTTTTTTGATATCCTTCTGAAATTTTCTTTACCTACATGTAGTAATACAACTAGAATGTGGTTTTATACCAAGTATTGCTAAATTTGAAAATGAAACTAAATCAATTCCCCCCCTATAATATGGGGATAATGTATGTTCACCCTTTTGTGATTTTAAATGTTTTAAGTTTCAGTAATCAAAATTACAACTATATATGTAACCATATATAGAAGCCATATATACAAGTCATGTATATTTCCAGTCCTGTGAATATTGGATAGAAATGTCATTTGGCTCCTGGAAAAATTAGAAGATGAGATAGTATTTCAGCAGCTCGTGTTTTTATAGGTTGTATCCAGCTAAATACTGAATGTTTGTCTTTTGCATGGTAATAGTGCAGTGTTCTGTTTCAGATTTGTTGCTCATTTTCTCACTGATAATGAAGCGAAGCATTATGTCTAATAAATAGTTGAAAGAAAAATTTAATGCATGAAGACTATTTGAAAAAGAGGCAGACCTTTTATGTAAATCTGTTTGATACATTAGACTGTAGCTCCAGCGTAAAGAGGCTTGTAAGTGTATTAGAGGGAGGTAAGAGCAAATCGCATGTGATAGGCTTAAAAAGGGCTCTAATTATGATTATTTTTGACAATATAGGTACGAAAAACATTCTTCACGTTAGCATTTTGCGACTTTTGTCGAAAGCTGCTTTTCCAGGGATTCCGATGCCAGACATGTGGCTACAAATTTCACCAGCGCTGTAGTACAGAAGTGCCACTGATGTGTGTTAATTATGACCAACTTGAGTAAGTAATCACAACTGATTTTAAAAGTTGAGTCTCTTATTAAGCTTACAGCTGTCAGTGTTTTAGGTCTATAATTCAGAAGTCAGAGGAGGTGCTTGAAAAAAACACAGGAGTTGAATTGTTCTGTTGAGGCTGCATAATTCATGTTCTTTCTTTGCAAACTCAGACGACCAGTTCGTATTTTTTGCTGGACTATGAAATGCTTTCTTTGAAGCATGAATGGACTGGCTGAGCATTTGACTATATCAGACAGACTTCTCATTGTTTGCAGTTGTTGTTCTTAATCAAAACTGGTTCTTTATTATGTGATGGCTAGAGCCCTGTTTAAATGTTTAGATGTGGGTTTAGATGCAGGTTTATTCTCTTCACAGGAAAAAAATGTGAAGAAACACTAGTTTAATGTGGTAAAATTACAGTTAGTTTTACAGTGATTTAAAATAATCCATTAGTGAGTTTGATGCCTAGATCCCAAACGGTTGTGTGTTCTTGAATTTAATTATTGATAATTTAATGTAGGTTAAGGATCTGGTGTAAACTGGCTTTGTGCTCTATTTGATTGGTTTCAGCAGAGGCTATGAAGTCTTTTAACTAGACTTTCATATAAAGAATCATTTCAAATTCTAGGTTTTCCCCCAAAAGTAAATTTAAATTCTGCCTATGTAGGTATTTATACCTGTTTTGGCATCTCTAGAATTTATGCTCGGGGCTCATGGATAAGGTAGTTTTATCCATTTGACATCTGTTTTTTGGCAACAGTGCAAATGCAAGTTCATGTACTCCAAAAACCAGTTATAAGTTGTGCATTCTTGAGGAACCAGATGTTTGCAGTTTCAACTAAAACATTAAAAAATTACTTTCCACAAAGGTATGTTTAAGGCATGATCATTTGATCCTTTGTCAATTAAATAATATTTTTATTAACAAATCTTGTAGATCCATGTGTTAGCATAGTCTTCATTTCAAAATACAGAATATGATCAGTGACAAAGTTTGTTTTAATCTTTGAGTGTATTGTGAAGCTTCTGGGTTTTGCACAAGGTTAGGTTGTTTTTATTTTGTTCTTGCCTCACAGTTTGCTGTTTGTCTCCAAGTTCTTTGAACATCACCCCATACCGCAGGAGGAGCCCTCCTTAGGAGAGACCACCCCAGCATCTGGATCATACCCCTCAGCACCCCCCTCAGATTCTGTTGGGTATGACCTTATTCCTGCTGTTTAATGATGTAACGTTTCAGTACTGTATGCTTAGAAACACTCAAAATACTTCTTTGCAACTCTCTCTCCATTTTTGTAATCTGGCTTGTCATGTATACCTATGCTTACCTTCAGAGAAGTGAATAATTTCATTTGCATGAATTATATGAATTAGTAATGATCCAAAGTTAAACGTATGCATAAGTGTCTGTAGAATTGGGGTCTTACCTGTTAAACTGATTTCCTGGTCTAAACTGGAAAGATTTTTATACTTAAAATTAATACTAACTGAACCTGTATCCTCACAAATTCTTTCAGTTTGTGTTACCAAACTACAGTTTATATGCCTTGAAGTGACATACCTCTGTTTCAGAATAAGCCACTCCATTATAAGATCAGTGTAAACAGATGCCAGTTCCAGGTTCATGATACTGCTTTAGTTGCTTTTGTACGTGCACACTGCTTTACTATCCTTCAGACAAGCTGTCTTCCTCTTATTTAGATGTTGGGATATACCAATAGCATCTGCAGATCCAGGTTTTGTAAAATTAGTTTTCTAAATCTGACCACAGCCCCCATCCTCTGTATTGCCAACAAAGATTCTGGACCCTCTCTGTGAAAAGATAAGTGATCATATTGAGATTATGTTCCCAGTAGTTAAGACATCACTGTAACTACCCAGCACTAAATAGTTGAACAAATCTTCAGGAACTGGTAACTCAAGGATGTGCGTCAAAGTAAAAAAAAAAAAACTGATGCAGATTTATTAAGAGCACCAAATACAAAAGCCTTCAGAGGAATGTTTCTGTGACATGTGTGCTGCATGGAGATGAACTGAACTTGGCAGAGGCTCTCTTGGAGTAGTGAGCATTGTGCCTAGACTAAAGCAGAAACACAGCTGGAAGCTACACAGACACCTATGGACTCTTAACTGGAAGAGAAATTCCCTGGACAGCCAAGGCTATTTTGTGAAAGATCAAATACAGTGCCTCCCAGGAAAACAGTCCTGCAGAGGAAACCTCATTTGGTAAGTACAAAGAAAGATATTTTTCTTATTTGTAGTATTTTGTGCAGATGCAAGTAAATTTTAAAGTGCCTTTTCCAGGTAGTGGATGTTGCCTTTATGTCCTGTGGGTTTTGCTACAGCAGTTTGTGGACAAGGCAGCTGCTGTTCTCTAAGCAGCATGGTAAAGCTGAAACTGCAACCATGCTACAACTAATCTGTGAAGAAGCTTGTTCATACCAGCTGTGTTATGTGGATGCCAAAGGCACTATATAGCCCTGTCCTGATGCTGGGATATGCTAAATTTTCCAACTTTTTAATTGCTTCTGTGTCACATTTATGTTTTATTAGCAGTTTATGCAGATACAACAGGATAGATAATCTTAATTGAGACATGCACTATGAGAAGGCTTTTCACCCTTTTGTGAAGTAAAAAGGGAAAGGAGAAACTGAGACCAAAGCTGGTTGATGCCTTAAGGTTTTTAACTTCATGTATATAAAAATATTTGAACATACTTATCAGTTGAAGTTAAGGAGTTTTTCCTAAGTGTAGATGATTTGTGGTTGCAGGAGCTGTAAAAGGTTTTCAGCTTTCTCCTTTTTGCTTTTTTTTGCCTTGCTGTGCACTTCATTGTTAAACGACAACAAAAAGGCATACATTGTGTCTTCAAAATTTGATTTATTTTGAAAATGGTTTATGATTATCAGCTGGTGTTCATAAGTAGTATGCGTGTTAGTCATGCAGTTTTCCCCAGGCATCTGTGTTTGTAGCATTTTTTTCCCAGAAGCAGCTTTTGTATGAGCGTATAGCACTGTCTGTACCTTTCTACAGTTATCATTTTGCCTTTCTTTAATAATACTTCTCTGCTTTTTAAATTCGTTATTGTGGAAATACTAATTTCTCTGAATTTTTTAGTTTAAAAATATGCTGGCCTTTTCTAGAAAAATATACCTGAGCATGGTTTTGTTAAAGGGTATTGCTACAATATGGAACAAGAACCCAATATGGAGTAAAGTCTGATGTTTGAACTTACTTTGTAATTTAAGAGATTATCTTGTAATTTAAGAGAGTGTAAGGGATTGAAATTTGACAGCTGGGCAATGGGATTGAAAATATGAGTAACCTAGTGCTTTATTAACACTTACTAATTTAATAATTATTCCTTTGATTTCTCTGTTCTCCTAGCACCTTGCATGGCACAGCCCGCAGAGGAAGGGATGTTACTAATCGTTTGGTAAACCTGAGGAAAGAGAAGGCAAACATCCTTCTTCATCTTTAGCCTTGTGAAGGGATTCCAGCGGCAGGCAAAGTGCCCAAAGAAAGGAAGAGTTTGTGTTGCAAGTCAAGCTCAAGAGCAAAGGCCTGTGAGATATGCTGAGAAATTGTCAAGGGATCAAATGGAGAAGTTGGAAAGAGAAAGGGACATAAAGGAAAAGACCACTGGACATGATGCAAAAGCTGCTAAGCATGGAGAACTTTGTTTCGCTTTGCTCATGTGTAGCATCCTAAAGCAATCCAGTCCTGTAGCTTTTCATTCTTCTGTCAGCTGTAGGCAGTCCCTGCAGATGTTACACCCCAAGAGAAGGGAGCACATATGGTCCCACTTGCACAGTTCTGAACTCCTTAGAAAAATGTGTCCAGCCTCCACATTAGGTCTTTTGTCCCATTTTAGTTTTTCCAGTTTGCACTCTCCTGTTGTGCCAAAGCAGTCAGTTACAATCTGCACTTAACTGAAAAGAATTACTGCAAGTGTAGGTCTCCCTAATAGCCATTTGTAATAAAATTGAAGTGTGCAAACTGTATATAATACATTGTATTCATTTCATTCATTGCACTATCATGAAGTTTCTTCTACATTTTTGCTCGTAAAATATGAGCACAGAATTTCTGTGAACCCAGTTCTGTGGATCTTACCGATACATGAAAAGGTGAGAGATTAGCTATCCAAAACTTTCCAGAGCTGTCTTTTTCAACTAATGTCTATTCTCTCAGATCTTCTGGTGTTGGGCAAAACTCAGCAAACTCATGAGGCAGATACTATGGCAGGGTACGTAACTTGTGGAGTGGGTGGTAAGGGAGTGCATGGTCAGACTTTGGGTAGCACAGAGGCAGGTTGAACTTCATAGGAGCTGAAAGCATCTGCTTTGCTTGAGGCCGAGCACTGCTGGTAAGCAGGTTGGCAACATCTTGGCTCTTTGAAAAACAACATTTCTCAACTTGCTTACTCTCCTAAATGTGAGGAAAAAAGGGGGACTGTCTGGTGCACCATTCTTGGAAGCTTGCCAGTCCTTGCCTTAGAGCAGGCTCCAGCCTGTGATTAAACACCTCTGCTTTCCTTTCTGTCTTCTAAATGTTCGCTGATCGTTCTGCCTGGGCTGAAGACATTTAAATGTCTAGAAAAGCTTCTGAAAAGCCAAGGAAACAAAGGCGCAGTCTTAAAATACTATATTTAGTACTACATCACCATTTAGATCCACATGTGTTAAGGTGAACAAAAGCTTTGTGGTTTCATGCATAAAACGATGAGCTTTTCACCTAAAAATGTTGTTATCCAATTTGATACTCATTCCTAATGAGCAGAAGAGGCCTGGTATTAGAATCTTGTAGAAAAATCATCTTTCATCAGGTGGGGTATACCTCATGTTCCCCATAATCTTATTTACAAAAACACACTAGTGAACTGAAACCTGATTTGGAGAACTAACGAGAGCTCCAGAGGTTCTTTTCCTAGCCCCTTAGCATTGCTAAGCCTTGTCCTGGGCCCAAAGGCCAGTATAAATGCACACCACTGTGATAATCTTGGCAGTTGTTTTTCACCTACAGGCCAACATGGATGAAAACAAGTTATCATAGTATAAAAAAAGTACTGATCCATATGAAGTTATGACTGTTTCAGATCCGTGCCATGATGCTTTTAGACGGATTTCACAGGATGTTTCACAGGATCTTCTCTAGCCTGTAGTTACAAACTTGTACTGCTATTCTTTTCTCCAAATCAACAGTTGATTTAGGGTTAATGGCTGTAGAGGTGGGGAAAGATAAAAAATTACTTCATTTTCTGGCAATATCCATGGAATACCACAGTAATTAAATTAGAATGTGTTTGGCCTCCAAAATTTGCAGTTTACTGGCTTGCTAGAGTAGCTGAAATACTAAGATACCTTAGGAGTCCTTAGAAACTGCTTGACAATGGAGGTGTGCTATGTTGTGCATCAGCAACAGCAACAAAAACCAAAGCAAATAATATTCTGGTGTAAACAAGAAAAAAAAAGCCAAAACCACTTGGTATGCATTTTCACTTGCAGTAGGTTTGACATGGGTACAAGTAAGCAGTCTACGAGGTGAATAGTATGTACTGCACTGAGCCCTGTGTCTGAACTGAGATGTACTTGTTCAGGCCAGGAGGGCCTGAACAGATAGTAGTAGAGATGCTGTCATTTTAAAAGAGAAGTGGCACACACCTTATAACTGAAACTGGGGGAATGTGCATGTTCAGTGTATTTACCTAACTACAGCAAAATAGAAATCCAAGCAAATGTCCTGAAGCCAAACCTATTTTAAGAAAAATCTTTCCTGAGTAGACCAGCTCTATATTAAAATTTTCTTTTGTCTTTGTAAAGTGAACTAACTTATATCATTGCAAATTCTGAGATCCAGTGGAGGTACTGTATATGATTATATAAAATTATTTGTTTATATATAATGTAGCATGTGTGGGCACTTTCCTGAGTTACCTTCCTCTTCCCTGTGGACCCAGTTTTGTAGAATAGTAAATCTGTGGGCGCCTTGGCAATTGCTGTGATCAACAAAGACAGTTGCCAAAATTGACAAGATCTATGTCTGTCTGCAATTACTCTTGTCTCCTGACAAAACCTTTCTGTTTTGATAAAAAGGGAACAATGTGCTTATCCCAAGTCCATGGTCCAAAGCATGTTCTGTCGTACTGCCAGGAAAGGTTATAACACGTTAAATTGAAATTTGATAGCTCTTATCAGCTTGTTGTGTTGGAAGCTGAGAATTGTTTGTTAAAGGAATTCCCATATCTAAGAGGCTCAAAGTAAGTGTGCAAGATGAGGTAGAATAACCTCTGTAATATGTCTGTGTATTGACCTTTATAGAAGGTCTCCTCTAGCTAGCATTTGCCTGTTAACTGCTCAGAAGGGCCACAGGAGCACCAGGAACTCAGATCCTGGTATTTAAACTGCTGCTTCTTTAAGCCCCAGCTTGTTACGACTGTAAGCAGTTCTTTGCAGGAGTTATGTTCTAGTCCTGTTGATTCTTAGTTTTTATTTCTGGCAGAGGCTGGTGGTAATTGCTCCTCAAGCTTGTGATCTCAGTAGGTCATCTTGGCCAGCAAGCTGCTGTTGTGTTTCTCTTCACTAGTTACCTTTTTCAAGCAAAATCCCCACTTAGCAAAAATAGCTTACCTTTTTTAAGTGTCCCAAGGACACCCATTAATGAAATTCTGATTGTATATAGCTGGAGTAGATGGCTAACTGTTTATGAGGTTCCCATCTCTGGATTCTTTGTTGTCTAAAGCCCAGAGATACTCCAAAAGGGGTCTTTGTCAGCCTGTAATTGTTTTTGAAAGATCTGCACTTCCCCCAGTTAGAATTTAATGAGTACAAAAAGGTACTCAAATTGGTTTTAGATGTGGTGTGACATAGCATGCTGTCTGCTAACAACATGATGGGCATGATGACCTGTAAGCAGAAATACAGAAGTATTTGTAGATTCCCTTAGCGGATGACCATTTATGACTCAAAGGAGGATGTAACTGAAACAGTAGTTCTGCAATTTGGTTTTCTCTCCCTTGGCTTACTCATAATCACAGAAAATCTGATTGCTTCTATTCTCATAATGTGGCAGAGCTCAAATGCTGTATTGTGGTCACTCCTAGTGCAATGGTCTGATGTCTGTGGTTACATATTGCCCTTCATTCCATTCTTACTGAGAATTCTCATGAAGTTTGAGCAGGCGTTAGCTATCACAGTGACAGTACTAGCCTGGCTGAGACATTTTTAAGCTTTAAATCTTTCTGTGCAGCACCTGACATGCCTGCCTTTGCATGTAAATGCAGTGCATTAGAACGTCAACCAAGTGCTGCACTTGTATCTGTGCAGTGTCCCATCTCCTTAGGTGGATTCCAGATGCATGATTTCCTACAAAAACGTCTAGGAGTTAAAAAATTCCTTATCTACAGTAGAAAATTACCCAAAGACACTTGTTAGCAGTGGATGAAAGCTTATGTATATGTACATCACCTGCGTTTAAAAACGTCTCTGAAATTCTGAGCATCTTCTGAAATGCCGGGCTGTTTAAGGTCTTTTCTCAGAGATGTGTCTATTGGCAGTTTTAGCTCATTGCTTCCCCGTGTCTTCCCAATGTTTATATTGTCATGTAACAATAGGTAATTTTTTATTTTTAAGTTTAGCAGGGACAACCCCCCCTTCCTGTGCCCCACTTAAAACATAATTTAAGTATTTTATTATGAGAGTTACTATATTGTTACTTGAATTCGAAAGCGCTCTGTTTTGCTGTTCTCAATTGTGAGACTTTTGGCCAGGAAGGAAAAGATGACAGACGCTTAGGATACAGATAGCACTGAGTTCTGGGACCAGTGCCAATCTGTAAACTCCTCAATGAAAGGTAGGGTAATAGTCTTTAAGGCAGACCTGTTTCTGAGAAAATATGAAGAGAGACTGTTGAAAATGTTAGGTGCCCTCTTCGGAGGGGCCAAGGAGCGTTCATTTACAGGAGGCGGCACCAGGACCTGTTGCTGCTGTATGCTGCTCTGTGGCTTATTTCTGAAGCTTCTCCCTGTGGGCATAGCCTTTGTGCGCATGGTAACTAACCCATGAGTAATTGAGTACCTGGAGGATGCTACTCCTCTCTCACAAGCTGTGTTTTCTGTCAGTTCTAAAAACCTTGTCAAGTATCATGTATGTTTTAACATAAAGTTTTCACTGCCAAAGGTGGCAAATGTTTCTGATTGACCTTTTGCCTTAAATCTGTTAAATTAGACTTACTAGTGGCTGCCCTTGACTTGAGTAAGAGCTAAATGCTGATATATTGTACTTTGACAGAATAAGTGGATAACCAAAGAAATTACATTCATACAAATGAAAAAGCAAGAGTTCAGATGTTTGTCTTTTAAATATACGATTCATGATACCATAAATTAAAGACTTTATGACCAGCAGCATTTACATTTCTTCAGAAAGCTTGTCTGTATAGTCTGAATGCTAATTTTTCAAGGCAAAACTATTCTGTTGCCTAACTGTAGCACTAAATGACATTTGAAATTTTGCACCAAAGTTATATTAAGGGGTTGAGGTTAAGGGGTGATCTGTTTATTTTTAGTATCAATAATTTGTGTTACACTGGCCATAATATTAATCAGTTATTTTCAGTAACCAGTATGTAATTCTCAGTCTTTCTTCATTGAACAATGATCTCATCCGTACAATTTGTGACATCTTCTGACAGTAATACTGATGTGAGATGTTAAGTGCTTTTAGTTCTCAGTAGGTTGCCATTAAAGAGTTAACTGCATTAAGTCTCAAGTGAGGAAACTGCAGAGTATCTTGCTTTCTGCAGTGCACGTTGGGCTACATGCATTTTTCAGATCAGGCTTTATTATTATTCATTTGGTATGGCATGGTAGTGGGTTTTCATTTTGTTTTAACTCTGAACACATCTGACTAATGAGGTAGTTTTTTTAGAGAGTTGTTGCAAGATTGTTCATTATAAATTGTTTTATGTAGGTCTTTAGATCAGAGTTTTTTTTAATGTATGTATTATTATAGTTGAAAAGGACTTACCACACCCACTATGCAGTATTTGAAGCCATTTGTAGACCTAAATCCTCTTTTTCCTTGACTTTGTTTCTCAGACCACCAATTCTCCCTAGTCCTTCTCCTTCAAAATCCATTCCAATCCCACAGCCCCTCCGACCAGCAGATGAAGACCATCGGAATCAATTTGGGCAACGTGACCGATCCTCTTCAGCTCCCAATGTTCACATCAATACAATCGAGCCAGTCAATATTGATGTAAGTATTGATAATGGTTGAATAGGAATAGTAGATTTGATGTTTCCCTTATGACTACCAGTGTGTGAAATTTACCATGTGTACATTAAGCTAATCCTTAGCAGTCTGTCAGAATCTAATAGATCCCATGTAAGATATTTTTGCCATTGAGAGCTGTAAGAACCCAAATAACTCATCCTCCAGGAGCAGAAACTGTCTTCTGACAGTCCTGTCCTTTCATTCAAAGAAGCATTCTGTCACAAACCGCTGCTAATTTTTGTCATTAGTCCCAAGGCTCATACTGCTAGCTATACCCTACTGTTAAGAATATGAAAGCCAGTAACCACTCTTGCAAACCATTCTGTATGTTAGGCATATTTCTTTATACACAGAATAAGGATTTTTATTATTTGTAGTTCAGTAATATTTCTGGCATTGAAGAATATTAAAGCATTGCAGCAGGCTGAGTTCAAATTTACAGAATGTTCCTTAGTCTTTCAAAAGCTCAGTATATATTGTTCTGAGAGTTCTTTTGGAGTGTTCAGAAGCTGTTACAATTAATTTATTTGCCACATTTTTGAAATTTCTGGACAATGAATCATAAATTATACTAATGGTTGATATTAGGTATAAGGCCAGCTTAGACCTTTCAAAATATTGGTCACAACAACCTCTCTTTAATTTTGGCACTGTATTTAGCTCGTATGGGCCTTAAGCCTATTCTCTAGAAATTAGTCATTTGTCAGGTGAGCAGTCTTGAAGTCTGCCTAGACACTGAGGCCCAAAATGTTTTGCATATGAGCTGAGTGATAAGTGAAATGCTAGTTGAGTGTTAAGAATGTGGTCGCGTAGACATTTGTATATGGTATATGGCAGTGGTGCATCTGAGAGGCAGGACCAGTGCTTTCAGCAGCAGTGCAGGTGTATAAGGGAAAAAAATATTTGTGTAACCAAAAAAAAAAAAAAGCTTGCTGATGAAATTGAAATAAGGAGGGAAACTGCTAGTATTTTCTTCTTCTCTTTAGAAAATCTGTAGTGTAGTTTGCTTGCTCTCAGTTCACTGGATTGCAAGTGAAGGAAACATTTTGCAGTTAATCATTTCTGAGAACAGTGTGCGCCTGGCTATGCAAATGAGGTGATTTGTTATAAGAAAAAAATGAAGCAGAAAAATTTGACTGATGCACGTTGGAAATTGGTGTCCCAGCTCCTGATATGACAGTTCAAATAGTTTGTGCCACAAACACTAACGAGAACGCTTGGTTCAATATTTCTTTGTGTTTTGGCCAGCTGAGTGTTTAAATCAATATCTTCTTGTCAGCGTCTATTTTGGGAGCTGTACGTTTCGCTTTACTACTGAGAGATGCTGTTTTAAAGCAACTAATTTTGAAACGTATAGTAGTTGTTATAAATAGTTCTTTGGAGTTGCTGCTGTTAGTAAGCCATGGTGGGAAATAACATTTCATATGCAACATACGAGGTTATGAATTCTCAATTTGATCAGTCTCAATTGATTCTGGAATGTAAATGAAAAAATAATACCTAAATTAAACACACTTTCTTTATTATTATTTATAGGACTTGATAAGAGACCAGGGTTTACGAGGAGAGGGAGGTAAGTAGTGTTTAAACTAGCTACTGTGCTATATTTAATTACACAACTCCTCCATCCCTTCTTTTTGTTCTACTTCCTTCAACAAAACACAGGCACAAAGGAAAATATGATTAGGACAAAAAATGAATTTGCATTTGCTTGTCCATGAACTTAATATATGTCTGACAAAGGTTCGAGTCATTTGCTGGTCATTTTGGGAGTGGGGGAGACGGAAGGAGAAAAAGTTTTGAAGTGGTATCTAGTTTTTTAGTTTTAAAATTACCTTGCACCATCACTTTTTTGCTCTCTTACACACACACTCATTCACTCACATGGCTGCACACAGACATGCTGCAACTTCCCAACTCTCAAAGGTGTTTTTATGCCTGTTGTTACCTTTCCACCCATGGAAACAACAGAGGTTTTCATAGAAAACCATCAACGTGGTAGATGGACCTTCCATACGAGCTGCTGCATCCTAAAGCAGCGTGAAATAACTCCAGTTCTTCTCCCCCTCTACCCCTGCTGAAGATGCTGCTTTGCTGTACTGCATGCCTGTGCTACTCTTGGAACCAGGTTGTTAGGACCTTACACTAAAGCCAGGTCTTTTTATGTTTTCTTCAGTAACACACAACCCTGATTCGCCGTAAAGTCAGAACTACTGCCGAAAGATTTCTTTTTCTTCATGTGTTATGCACAGGCCTGTTAAGTCATTTCTCTCACTGGCTGTTAAGGTCCTCTTGTGTGCGATGTTTATTCCTATGAATATAATAATAATGTAGCAATAAAAAAATAGTCGGGCTGGCATATGACAGCTTTTTTAACTCCAAATCATTAACACAGTCAACTCATAACTTGCTTCAGCCATGAGTAAAGTCTGAATTATGTTAGTGCACTCTATTGTGATCATTAAGGTTTTATACTGTGGGCTATTACTGACTTTGTGTCTCCCATCCAAATCTGGTAGTTAGTAGGACAGCACCTACCTACTGTGTTGTGTTTGATGGAGCTATTTTTTCTTATGCCAGCAATAGAATGCTCTTTAAAAAGAAATTTCCTTTATACCTGCAAGCCTACTAATTTAAAGTTGCCAGATTTAGCTATTTTTGTATGTGTCAGTAGGTGTGGCACTCCACAGTTTTGCCCATTTTGTCCAACATTTAAATGTTGTGCTATCATGTTGATTTTAACTTCTGATCATAAACTGTCTGCTTGGCATCTGAGAACAATTGGCTCTTCCCAGTCCTGTAACAGTGTTATTAGTAATTGACTTTTTTTTCATCCCTTCGAAGTACAGAAGCAATCTATGCATAGGAGTCAAAGCATCCTAGTTATTTCCCGTGACTTCTTTCATTTCTTCTATGTGTCTGTCTTTCTGTCTCTGCCTGCCCGTCTCTTTCTCTCTAACAGCCCCTTTGAACCAGCTGATGCGCTGTCTTCGGAAATACCAATCCCGGACTCCCAGTCCCCTCCTTCATTCTGTCCCCAGTGAAATAGTGTTTGATTTTGAGCCTGGCCCAGTGTTCAGAGGTAGTTGGGCTCTTCTTTCTTGTTTTCACCCAAACAAAATAAGTAAAACCACAGATGCTGTTTGTGCCTCACCCTCACACTGTGTGTATGTAAGTGTGTGAGTTTATCAAAACACCTCTGTTTTTTTTTTTTGCTTGGCCTGGCTGGATTGCTTTGAATGTGCTTTTCACACATACCCACTTTCACCTTTACACGCTTCAAAATGACTATAAATGAAGTCTGACTTAAATCTTCAAGGGCAAGGAATTTCATAGTTGAGGTTTTTATGTGGACCTCAGCATAACTTTACTAAACAGAGGTCCTTAGATTGCATTGCAGTGATTTTAAAGACAAAGTGATGTCCTTAACTTAGAATTTCCTTGACTGTTCAGTTTAAGTCAGTTCAGTGCTTTAACAGTTTTCTATATTTAATATTATTTGTCTTGAAAAGCAATCTAGGAAATCAGATGTGAATTACAAACATTTCCATTGATATCTTGTTAGGTCTCAAGCTTTTCAAATAATGTGCATGCCAGCTTTCAACAAATACTTCACTTTGTGAATGTGCTCTTGATACCACATTGGGGCCCTAGATGGTTTAGACCATGCACTTTTTATTTAGTAAACTTCCAGTGAAACAGTATTTGTTTTGTGTCCTGTACCATGTAAAATAAGACTCTTCCATTTTCACATCATTGACTCTGGAGGTAATTCAGGCCTAAAGCTGTCAATGGATCTGTTGTATTGCACAAAATCCCCTAAAACTCTGTGGGATTGCATATGCTGGAGAAACCACCTGTTGAGTAATAGCATGAACTGTAAATATTTGTGTCTATATGTATACATGTAGGAATGGATAGTTCAGTGCATGTAGTATCGTTTTTAAACGCTACCATCTTGGCTGTTTCAAAGACTTTTGTTTCAGAATATATCAAGAGCAGTTCACCTTATGAACTTGTAAAGTTCTTCCGGTATGTGTAAGAAGACAGGTGTTCCCAACAAGCAAACTGGCTACAGAATGGAATGTGTTATGTACAGCTTCAGAGTCCAAGCTAATGACTTAAGTCTAATATTATCTGAAGTATCCTACTCTAATAACTTGGAAAACAGGCCATCTGGTATTATTATGAACAGATTAACTGTAATGTTCTGCCATGTGCTGTAAGCATTTTTGGTGAAGGGTGAATATTGTGCTAGTGGTATTGGTGAAATAGGAGAATTTAGTTACCTCTAAAGAAAACACACTCTAGTAGAGCTTTGCTATTGCAGAGAAAGTGTAACCCAGTAAACTTTTGGAAAATAGGTCATGTTCTGGGAATATTTAATTCTATATATATGTGATTTCAGACAATATAATAAATATATGACAGTATAATGACCATAACATGAATATGAACAGAAGTCCATCCTTCAGGTGACTGGTTTCCAGCTCCTTGTAATATGTAGTTAGGATGCCCACTATGCATCATTATTGTTGCTTCAGTATATGGGACAAGGTTTATGGATGTTGCGTCCCCTTTTTGATGTGTCAGTATGTCATTATTTTGTGCTTCCACTTCTAAATGTATAGATTTTAGGTCTGAGGACAGGCAGTGACGGATATATGTAGCCTGATAAATTAGCACGCACTGAGTGACTGAACTTGAGCAACAGTCATAAAATCAGATTTTGAGCCCAAGTTGGCATTAGGAGACACTTTTTTGGTAAAAAGGTTGCTGCTGAAGGAATTTGAGGAGTACTGTGTTCTACCACTTCCCAGAACACTGATGTGAGAGAAAGCATTGGAATGTTGGAGGTCTGGTACAGTGACATAAATTGTTTTGCAGAGCAGCATGAATTTAATTAACAGTTGACCCTGTTTTATATCCTTCACATTGGGAGGGTCACCATAACCTTGTTACGAATAATTAGGGTGTATTTTAAAAAGCAGTATCTAGTTGAAGGGCTCTATTTGTAAAGAGCCACTGGGGCTCTGAAACACAGCTCTGCTGGTGACATTTTCCTGCATAGATTTGTTTAGATAACATGTTGGCTACAGATGTACTGTTCTTTTTTGTATTTAATAGAATATGCTACAAATAGCTAACTAAAGTACTTGTTCTTTTTTAATCCTTTCTATGATTTACTTTTTAAAAAGAGCACTCTGCTAACAGATAGCTTTAAAACAGCCAAATGGTTTTTCAGGTGGCACTTGGAGACTCAGCTAGAAAACATTTAATTTTTTTTTTTTTTTGCATTTAGTCTATTTTGATTCCAAAGTACAGCATTTCAGCTATTTAGTGGGTCCCTAAAAGGTTAGCTACAAGAAATCTGAGAGGTAGCTGCTGCTAACTAAATTGCTATTACTTTTCTTCACAAAGAAACTGGTGGAATTAAAAAAATGCATTTTTGAGGGGTTGTTTTATTTTTTTTCTCCTCTATTTAAAAAGACGTTGTCCTTCTGGTAGTTCATGAACAAGAGACTGGGGACTATCTGGTAAACAGGGATATCTGATACAGACTTTTCCTGAAATCTAAGACTTGATCACTAATCTAATAATAGGAGAATATTTCTAGTATATGTTTGTTTCCTTGTGACATTTACATTGATGTTTGGAGAGACTGCATCTTAAACTCAGTTCTTGCACCTAGTATCAATAAGCTGGCTTCTTATAGATAAAATTATCCTGTTTCTGAAATTTAGGTTCAGCTGCAGGTTTGTCTGCAACACCTCCTGCCTCTTTGCCTGGGTCACTCACCAATGTGAAAGCGTTACAGAAATCACCAGGACCCCAGCGGGAAAGGAAATCATCCTCATCCTCAGAAGACAGAAATAGAATGGTAAGGGAGAGATGAGCTGTTTTCCTTTGTAGTATATTCATTCTGTAGAAATACTACACAACCATGTTCCTCTCACTCTTATGTCAAAGCCTTCTGAATTATTTGGAAGATGAGTGTGGTAATGATCAAGGGCTTTAAACTGATATGTAATGGAATATTGAAATTGTGGGACTGATATATAAAATAACTGGCTATACTCACTGTTACTCCATTGCACCCAAATGTCTTGGTGTGTTTTGTATTATAATGCCAGTTTGCCTTCAAGTAACAGCTTAACTTTTCCCACCATGATTCATGAACTTTAAAAGTTCTCTGGTAATTTTCAAATCTAGTAACACATTAAAATGTCTGCATATTTTTTTTTTTAATTCACAATTTACCATTATAATTGACACTTTCTTTTTGAGTTTGAGTTTCTTAACATTTACTGGTTTTAACACAGCCAGAAACCTATGACAAATATTTCATGCCAGGTAATAATTTAGTATACCTGCATGCTGAGGTTTTGTGTATGCTTGGCTTGAAAAGTCAAATGTGGTATCTGAAAAAAGAAAGTTCTTTTTAAGACTTTAGAGATACAAAATGCTTATACTAAGTCTTTAACAAAGGAACTGGTTTCACAGATGTTAATGCCCTTGCTTTCTTCCTTCTTATTTTTTATATCTATCTATAAAGAAAACTCTTGGTCGACGGGATTCAAGTGATGATTGGGAGATACCAGATGGACAGATCACAGTTGGGCAAAGGATAGGATCTGGATCATTTGGAACAGTCTACAAAGGAAAATGGCATGGTATGTGGCCGTCATGGCAAGCAGTTTTTAAGCAAGTAACAGTTCCTGCTGGAAGGCAGCTTCACAGAAAAGCACCTGGGGATTCTGGTGGCCATCAAGTTAAACATGGTCCAGCAGTGTGCCCGTGCCACAAAGAAGGCTGATGATATCCTGGGCTGCATTAGCAAAGCACTGCCAGCAGGTCGAGGGAGTTCATCCTTCCTCTCAGTACTGGTGAGGTGACATCTGGAGTGCTGGTCCGAGTTCTGGGCTCCTCAGTAAGAGAGACATGGACATACTGGAGAGAGTTCATTGAAGAGCCATAAAGATGACTTTGAAATTAGTAAGTGTATAGGTAATGTTAGAACTTCAGACTGTTTAAAAGCTCAACACTTGCATGTTCTTCTGAATTAATTAATTATTAGGGTCAAGATGAAACACAGTTACTAGAAAGACTAAAGTATCCATCTTGATGAATGATTTTAAATGTGTATTTACAAAGCTTTGACTTGGTGAGAATTTCTCAGAGTAAACTAGGAATAGTGTTTATACATTTTACAGCATATGTACTTACCTTAATATTGTAGTGGGTTATTTCACAAAAACTAGAAAATAGGGTATCTCAGTATTATTGATGCTCTATATAGATTTTCTCAATTGAGCAATATTTATCAATGACACTTATTAAAACTTGCTATCTTTAAGGTGATGTGGCAGTGAAAATGTTGAATGTTACGGCACCCACACCTCAACAGTTACAGGCTTTCAAAAATGAAGTAGGAGTGCTCAGGTAAGAATACTTTTAATGGCATAAAATAATGTGTGTAGATTCAGACTTCATTAATTACTGAATTTTTGATCTCCATTAAAACACATTGGTCTTTTTCCTCCATGATAATAGTTTGGGCAAAAACTGTAGCTTGCCATTTAAAAATATTTCTCTGTATGTACTGCTAGTTCTTCTTTCCCCTGCACGTTTGTCTATACACCTATGTTGTGAATATGTGCATGTCCAAATACTCAAGACAGGACTGGTTTTAGCTATTGTACTATCCCAGGGCACTGTCAAGCCTTAGTGTGAATTGTAGGCCTTCCTTTCCTCTCATCCATATTTTGAGACTGAAGGAGAGCATGACTAATTGTTTTGAGCTAACTGCTGCCCCTGTTATTCATTGTTTAATAGTTTATGTTCAGTAGCATTGACTTCTCTTTTGAGTTTTGGGGTTTTTTTTAAATGTATTTCTCAAAAATCACTTTGTGATATCCTTTTCTCCTGTGTACTATTTGTACTTTCTCAGAGGAAGTCTTTATCTTGGGTTCATTTCTTAAAAGGATCCATCAGTACGATACAATAGAATATTTATTGGGGATGACCATCAGTATCTAAGGACAGTCTTGAGCAGTCTCAAGCATAAATCAGTTCAAGAAATAAAATAGAAAGGAGGCTGAGCCAGGCACATGTGCTGGAGGACTATCCCCAATAAGCTACATGGCGAACAGGAGATGATCAGCTTTTTTCCCCCAGGAAATGTTATGTCTGAAACAAATCTAAGCTCATAGTTTGGAAGTAGAGGCTTTCTGGGGTGTGTTGATAAGCGTTGTCCTTCCTGGAAGCCTCTGAGAATAGAATTCCATTTTGGATGTCCTCCTAATGGGAAGCAACATCTCCTAGCTGGACTGGAGTTACACAAAAGCAGACCTGTCTGCAAACTGTTGCTGTCCCATGGGGACCTAGTGGTAACAGCATCTTTTGAGTTGGGTCGCTTGCAGAAGCAGCACTTACCCTGGAATAGCTTTCTGTGTCATTGTCAGAAAGGCTGACTGCTGGAATAATTCATTACACTGAATCTAGCAACAAGTTACCCTGTTATCTTAGTAGAGCTTGACCCAACGATTTCTGTTTGGAAATATGTATTTAGATATTGATAGATCTGCCTGACTTTATCCTTATTACCTGATCCGTCTGACTTCCTCCTGACCTTTTTTTTTTTTCCTATTTCAACAGGAAAACACGACATGTGAATATCCTGCTTTTCATGGGTTATTCAACAAAACCCCAGTTGGCTATAGTTACACAATGGTGTGAGGGGTCCAGCTTATATCACCATCTGCACATCATTGAGACCAAATTTGAAATGATCAAACTAATTGATATTGCACGACAGACTGCACAAGGCATGGAGTAAGTATTGTATTACTTGTTTGCAAGTAAGTGTTGGGGCAATGTTTACTTACTCCCTTCACACTGACTGACATTGGCAAAGAAGGCCAACTAACTACTCGCTTAGCCAAGCCCAGGGTCCTGCCTTGATGATCGGAGTGTTTGGTGAAGTGCTTATTATTTTTATTAGTTAAATAGACTGTGTTCTGGTTTTTTTGAACATAGGGAATTACGAATCATGAAGGAAATATAGTCTTAAATAGGAGAATAAAGATAATTTTAGTTCAGTTAACCTTTCAATCTTTGGAGCAGATATTCATGTTCCAAGCTTTATGATTGGTCTTGACAGTGCAGATAGTCTTATGGTAGGAGGTAAAACATACTTTAAAAAGAAACACCCTGTGAACAATAGGATGTAATCCTATAAGATAGCACAGAAAGCAGACAGCCCTGATAGCAAAAAGAATCAATTTTTTCTTTTCTGCTGTTAAGTATTGTAACTCTGTAGATAATAGATTTCAGCATTTGAAAAAAACATACATATTTTGTTCTAAGCACTGTACATAATCCTTATTCTTATAGGAGGGCAAGTGAGTTGAGTTAGAATGTACAAAACTAGCCCAATATTGTGTGCCAAAATCAGGAAATGATGTAAGACCAGAGAAATTGCCCTCCATCTGGAAAACCACTATGATGATTGCAGTTCATCAGGCCATTTTTTTTCTACGAAGTATTCTATTATGTTTTTAATCAAGAGATGGGGAGGTGTTTGCAGCAGCCAGCCTGAGTCTTCTGCTAGCCTGCTCATCTTCCCAGGCTCCCTTTGTAGGCAGTAGAAATGCAGAAGCTGGTTTGTGAGTGTAATTCAAATCAGAGACATAAACTGGGGCTTTTCCAACAAGTTTGTGCCAATCTCATTAACTAAACGAAGAGTCACAGAAGGCTAGTTGCCTAATTGAGGCTATATCTATGCTGTGAGGCAAGTACTCTTCTCTGTGTTCACTGCAATTTATTTATCCAGTCTGCAATCAAGGGATCTTTTTTCCCAGTCCCATGCTAGAAGGCAGACAGCATACTTTGAGTACACACTGGGACTAGGAAGCACATCTAGTTCATGCAATTTAGAAACACCTTATGTAAGGCTGTGTCAGTCTTTAACAGTCACTGTTAGGGCCTGGGGGCAGAACCTGCAACACAGAATGGCGTCTCAAAAACTACTGAAGTTCTTTTATTCTGAATATTTCAGAATATTTCAGTTAGAACTGAAAAGCAGAATTTGGTAGCATCAGGTTTGAGCTGGAAACGTAAGCTTTAGTTTGTAGACTTTTACTGCAGTTTTACGTTAATAAATATGTGCATTTTGAATATCTACAGAATTCGTGTTTCAGTAATAGAGTGGAGTTTGAGTTTTTGATTAGTGAAATATCATTTAACCCACCTAATCTATGGTTCCGTTTCAGTTATTTGCATGCCAAGTCAATCATCCACAGAGACCTCAAGAGTAATAGTATCCTTTCCCAGAGATGTGATTGTGGAACATGACAGCATTCCCTTTTTTTTTTTTTTTTTTTTTTTTGGGGGGGGGGGGGGTGTTTTGCTTTTTGCTTTGCTTTTTTCTGTCAGAAATTACCTTACTGATGTAAAATGTTGCTCATGTGTATTTCCTGAGTTGAAATTACACTGAGAAGGGGTAATATCCCTAGTAGCAAAGTAAGCAATACTTACTGTGTCTATTGATGTGATTGCCATAATGTAGGAAGTTTTGTTGTGGTATCAGGAACATTTTTGTATCATTTGGTTTCTGCATGCAATCAAAGATTACACTAGTTTGATCATGGGATATTTTTGGCTTTTCTTGTATATGGCATTTCAAGAAAGCTGCCTGGACCATGGTCCTTTCAGCAGTGGCCCAGTTGTTACTTCTGTAACTCTTAAATAGCATAATTCACCATGCTGACTGCATAGAACTTGTATTATATGAAAACCTTCTTTAATGATGGTGAATAGTTAAAACTGTTACGTCTAATGTTGCACATGTGTAGCTGATTATTGTTCTTGTAGAGCAGGACCAGTACCACTTGTTTGTTTTCCCTTAACATTTACCCCTTAGATATATTTCTTCATGAAGACCTCACAGTAAAAATAGGTGACTTTGGTCTAGCTACAGTGAAATCACGATGGAGTGGATCCCATCAGTTTGAACAGTTGTCTGGATCTATTCTATGGATGGTAAGCAAGGGGAAGTAGTGAGTGTGTTTCAACAAATTTAGTTGCCTTTGTCAAAAGTTTCTAAGACTACCCCTCCAGCACACTGACATGTGCAAACTGTCTTAAGCTGCAAAAGACAAGCAGTAATATGAATTACTAAATGAATACCTTTTAGTTCTTCTTTAAGCACATGTTTTCCAGCAGTCAGCAAAAAAACCTTAGTGTCTTCATCCTTTATTTTGGGATTTAAACTGAAAATAAAATGATGGCTGAGGAAAAAGAGTATGATTAATCCTGGGTCGAGAAGGTGAGAAAAGCCATGGAAAATGTCCCACAAAGAGCAGAACCAAAAGGAAGGTGCTCTTTAAGTTTTAAGCATTCAAGTATAGTTTCTCTCAAGAGACTGTACAACTTGCTAGTCTTAAGAAGTGTAGTTGCACCCTCCTATGCAGCTGTGCTTTTTTCTCCCCCAAAAAACCCTGAAGGGTCTGTTATTGGACATTATTTTCAGTGTTGTTGTAATCTAGTTTCAAAGTAGCTTCTTGGCCCGAACAAGGTAATTCTGTATAAATAAAAGTATCACCAAGCTAAAACAAACCAGTGGACTTTGAGGTTCATAGTAACATCCACTATTAGGACCCAGTAACATCTGAAGGCAAGAGTGGCATTTGCACTGTTATATTTTGGACAAGTCCGTGTTTTGTTCCTGGCATGTGAGGTGCAGCCCGACATGGTGAAATAAAAACTAATTCTTTCCTTTTCTGATACAGGCACCAGAAGTTATTAGGATGCAAGATAAAAACCCATACAGCTTTCAGTCGGACGTGTATGCATTTGGGATTGTTCTTTATGAATTGATGACTGGACAGTTACCATACTCAAACATCAACAACAGGGACCAGGTAAGGGAAGGGAGTGACTTCAGTCATCTGTGGCCTGAAACAGAGATAGATTCAGCCTTGTGAAGCACGCATTATGATGGTTTGTGTGTTTGATTTGCATTTCTGATGTTCTGTGTGTGTTTGATTTGTGTTTCTGATGTTATGAGATGACATTTCTAAATTTTCTAGGTCTGCCTCAGCCACGTAGCATCAATTCACTTCACTAGAGGGGTTTTTTGGGGTTTGTTTTTTTTTTTGTTCTTTTCTACTTCAAGTATAGATTTTCAGCTTCTGAGCTGGTTGCCAGGATACTTATTAGGGAGAGAGCAGGTTACTTAATAGTAATCCGGTTTGCAAAGGCAAAATGATCCTCCATATGTTGAGTTATTCCTCTCTCCTCCCTCCCTTGCGTTGAATAATAGTTCAGCAATAGGATTGACAAAATGGAACAGCAGTAGTCTTTCTGGGGTTTTTATATTCATTTTGATTGTGAGGAACGCATGCACCATCTAATTGAATTTCAGGCTACCCGTATTTCTCAAATCCTGCTAGATGGAGTTTGCAGAGTGTGTGAATTCTCTAAGAAGATTTCTTAATTGTGAACAAATACTCCTTAAGTCTGATGATACCACACGCCTGTCATGTATCTCCACAGGATAGGCACGTTTGTGAAGCCACATCTGATTCATTATTTCTCTGTCTAATCTGAAAATAGTATCTGTGCATCAAGATCTTTGGTGTAAACTATTCAGTGTCTGGGTGGTGTTATATTTATGTTGTTTCTGTGTCCACATCTCTTGTTTTTTCACCGTCAGTACTTGAGGATTGCAACCATAGCAACGTTCATCTGTGAATGCCATTTTATAAGGCTGCTTCCATATCTGTCAGAGCACTTCCAATTCATCAAATTGGGAGTGACTCTTTTTAATTATTTTTATTTTTAATTGGGTTTGCTGTTTGGAAAATGGGAAATATCCAGATTCCTGGCCAGATGGATATTATCCTCCAAAAGCAGTATTAGGGCATTGTTTTGGTTTTACTTTTTGAGATTTGAAAGATGAATCCAGTGATGTGGGTGCTAACAATTGAGTGCTAAAGCAAGTGAAGCCAACTGCAAGTCAAACTGCAAGTGAAACCAACATATGAAATGTAATCTAATCTAAGTTTTGTCACACCCAGTTGATTGTCTGAGAAGATGAAAGTACTGCTCACTCTCTGGTGCATCTACATCAGCTACTATGGCACAACTGGGATTCTTTGTGAGCAAAGCATCCTTCTTGTTTCTCTCACCTTAAAAGATTTTTCTAGGCAGACTAGGGCTGTTCTTTTAGTGATACTTTTTCTCCAGTTAGAATAAAAGTTTAATCCCTGCATTATTGGTAAAGAGTGTTGGAAACATAGATAATAATGAATTTTTAATAATTTCTACTTAAGTAGTGTAACTATTTAGAGAAAAGTAATTTTTAGATGATAACTCTCATTGCAGCGGTGGTAAGGGATGGGGTAGACAAGTCTTTACTACGAAATGCTGCTCTGGCACATGGAGATTTCTAAAGAAACCATATGGGAGTTTTAATCTCCTTGATGCCAGCACAGATGCAACTGAATCAGAAAGTTGAAAAGGCACCAGGATTGTGTTAGTACAAATAAAATGTATAGCTTGCATGAGGTGTGCAGGTTTTCTGTTGTTTTTGCCAGTGTCCAGATACAAAATAGTTACACTTCATTGAATATAAAGTATGATACACCTGCTGGGTCTGCCTGAGTATTCAGAAAAGGTAGTGATTATCTGTGGCAGCATGAATGGAGCTTTGATTAGCTAGTTTGAAAGGGGTTTTTAGTGTCAGCACAACTGCAGTACTCACCACACTGCATTTGACATTGGCTTGACATGATGATGTTTGATGGTATATTTTTATATATCCAAGAGAACAGTAACCATATTTAATGATCTGCTTTCCTGCTTTCTATTAGTTTACTTTGTTCTATGGTTAACCATCCTTAGGTGAAATATAAGACTTCCATGTTAAAGGAATTACTGTAAAAATACAAAGTCTGTCTGTCTCCTCTTATACAGAGGACACAGTTTCTCTTTTTTCTTTTGTGGGTTTGGGGGTGGGGGGGGGGGGAGGTGGTCAGAGGCAAGAATAATCTTTTGTGGTGGAAAAGTAGATGATGAAATTTATTCTCAAAAGGTAAGGGTTCTTAATATTTGAAGTCTGTGTGTTTTTAAAATGCCTTTCCGTGCGAACTTGGTGTTGACTTATAAAACAGAATATTTATTTTTAGGCATTCTGTTCCTGCCACAGAGTTGCTTATTCTTGTTTTTGTAACAGTTTTTGACACTGAAGGACCGCTCCTTAGATGGTTATTGCTATAAATGGTAACCATCTACTAGTGTTCAAGTTCCACCGAAATCTCTCCTTGGAGGAGGAGGAGGAAGAAATCTAATTTTTTTCTCCATACTGAATAGGTTTAGCAAGCATAACTCCAAGAAATTTGGCAATTTCAGCACCAGACGGTGTTTCCTGGGAGCAGAAAACTTGCTGCTGGGATCAAAGTGGTCTAGCAAAATGTTAATTTTTTGTAACTGTTGTTTTATGGACTTGTCTTCTTCTCCTTTCATCTCTTCTTCCCTTAAATAAAGATAATTTTTATGGTGGGACGAGGATACCTGTCTCCAGACCTCAGCAAAGTACGGAGCAACTGTCCAAAAGCTATGAAAAGACTAATGGCAGAATGCTTAAAAAAGAAAAGAGATGAGAGACCCCTTTTTCCACAGGTGAGAAGTGTTCCTCTTTAGCTCTCAGTAGACTTTACAACTCAACTATTGAAATTAAAGATCACTTATGAACTCACTGGCCAATTCAGAATCTCATTGATGAGTGCTGTAGCATAACTTCATAAAAATGTTTCTTTTGAATTCAGAAAGCAGGTATTAAAGTGACCTGTGTGGTTGGAAAAGTGTTTGCATTGGAGAAAGTTTCAACAGGGAGACAGTCAAATTAATAACCACAATTAGACACACAAATTGCAGCTAGGTGTATGTTCTCAGAAATCTTTATACCACCCTCCTTGCTCTGCCCTAAGATTTGTGAAGGCAAGCTGGTAGTGTTGTCACAAAACTTGGTTTATCGTGCCCGCTGGGGAAGGTTTGGGCTCCACAGGCTTGAGGGGGACCTTGGATTTTATTCTTAGCGTAACCAAACCTTTTGCAAAAACTAAGGAGCTCCACCTGCTGGCTTTATGGTGAATGGTGTTAAGCGAGCTGTCAAAGCGGTGTTCATTTGCAGCAATGGGAGGTATAGATACTAGTGCGTGAACAAGGAGGCAAAATAAAAGGCAACTATATTCACTATGCTTACAGAGGGAAAGCGGTATGCCCTTTAAATGGGTAAAATGAGGCATTTTTTTTCCCCAAAATGTCCTTTTTAGCCTTTTTCAGGATCAAACATCAGAGCGCAATGCAGTGATCTATTTTTTAATGTTTCAGTTTAAATGTCTCTATAAATATTTTTCTGTAGTTAATTTATGTTCTGCCTTTGGTTTTAAGAGAGTGTTACAGCTTTGGACAATGGATTTGATCGCTTATTTTCTGCATGTTTTAGATTCTTGCCTCCATTGAGCTTCTGGCCCGGTCGTTGCCAAAAATTCACCGCAGTGCATCTGAGCCCTCATTAAACCGGGCTGGCTTCCAGACAGAGGATTTTAGTCTATATGCTTGTGCTTCTCCAAAAACACCCATCCAAGCAGGGGGATACGGTGGGTTTCCAGTGCACTGAAAAGAAGTGTGAAAGCATGTGCCTGTGTGTCTGTGTGCTGGTGTGTTCCTGTGAGTGCAACACGTGTAAGCTCTCGGTTCCTACCAGCTATGTTTTTAAGGTTTACTGAGGGAATGAAGACTTTCTTCCTGAAAGTGGGCATTGAATGTCCTGAGCACAGAGTCCATGTTGGTAACAACTGCCCTGGGAGCAGCTGGCACAAGAAGAATTATAAAAGAAATGGGAAAAGGCACTTCAGAACAAGCAAAAATCCTCTTAAGGTCATTGGGTGTCATTTTGCTTGCCTGTATTGGTTTTGCCCAGTTTGTTGATTGGAATTAGAGTGTATTTGATTTTAATCTACTCAAGCTATGATGGTTTGTTTTTTTTTTACTTCGGTTGATGTCATTATGTTTGAGCAATAGGCTTTAGATTCCTCCATTAGTAATGCTACTCATGTGTGGGAAGCAACTGGGAAAATAAACTTACATTCAGTCCTGAGCACAGTTGAAACTTCTTGTGGTCAGGGGAGGTGATCAGGTACAGCACACAATCCAAAGAAAGACCTTAGTGAAATGTGACTCTTATTTTGGAAGTTGAAGTTTAAAATAGTGCAGTTTAGAGAACGTGTATTCCTGCAGAGGAGTGGTGGTGTGGGGTTTCTTAATGTTTAATTTTGCCTGAATACCCTGACCTGTTGTGCTTTAGACTATTCCAAAATGTTGTATTACAATGCAACATAGAATACATTCTGAACCTGCTTTTGCTGAACTGCAAGAACAGTACTGGTGCTGGTGCCTCTATCCTGCAAATAGCACAGATTTCAAAATTTAGAAAGAACACAAACATTTTAAATCTTGGGCATAGCCAAATACTTCAAGAGAAAAAGGCTGCTAACACCCGTAATGGGAAAAGAGGATTTGAAAAAGCAGTTGCTTTCATGGAAGTCAGTATTATACCATGAATTCTGTTAAGATGAAAGGATTCAATTACTTTAATATTGTTAAGAATACCACTGAACATGCTTCTGTTTAGTGATGAATTGTTTTTTTTCACTTCCATGTAAAAGTTCCCAGTTTGACTGGAAGTGAATCTGTTAGACCAGATATCTAACCAAGAAAGCTAGACACCTTACCAGAGGTCCTGTCAGCTCACTTTACAGATTGTATTCTTCCCTGGAGCATTCCTCTGGAACAAGTGAATCAAAGTGGTGGTTCAGGTTGTATCAGTCTTGGATGTCAGATATGAAAACAGTAATGTTATTGACTGCATTCTTGCTTATTTTGAAGTCAGTTACGTGGGTTTGTTTGTGTTAAACTGCTAAGCTATTAATTTTCACAGATTCTTCTGCATCAGAAACAAGCTCTTGCTGCTGTTGTTAGAACTTCAAAGGCCAGGAGTCTTCTTAATGGCTTCTGATTTACATACTTGCAGAGGATTTTGCATGTTGCTAGCCATAGGTTTTTGAAATAGATCAGGAATTCAAAACAGGGTTGGTTTTCTGGCAACTGAGCCTTTTAAAACAGGGAGCAGAATTAGAGAGCTTGAAGATATGTAGGTAATGTCTACGTTTTCTGGCCAGATTAGAATGATCTTCGCTTCTGCTGTTGGAACAGTTTGGGAAACTAACTTGTCTTCTCATCTTGTTAGTTGAGAAAATGCAGATGTTGAAATCTATGGAAATAGTGATGGAAGATGAAGGTTGTTACTGTTTTAGGAAATCAGTTTCCCATCTTTCTGGTAGCTTCACCTCATTTTGGCAGGCTTTTCTTAACATGAAAGCAGAATTTAAGTGGGGACTTTTCCCCTCTTATTCACTGATTAATTTAATTCTAGACAGTGAGGAGCAATGCTTCCTAAGGTTTGAAGTATGATATTCAGTACAGGCTACGATGCCCATCCCAATAAGAGCAAGAGGGTGCCGCTGGGTCTTCTGCAGAATGTAGAAATGTTGGCATCCCACCTAGGAAAGGCTTAACCACAGGGGGAGTTACAGAGAGTGCAAAATCATCATCACTGCCCTGCCCAGGCTTACTCTTTTCCAGGTCTGCCAGATGAGTTCAGACCAGTTATTCCTTGGAGTAGTGTTATCCTCCTTGTTAAGATTGCTTTTCTGTACTATTGGAACTGCAGTTACAGGGGAAAAAATGCTGCCATCCTTAGAAACACTTGAACCCATTTCCTGCTGTATGGTCAGTGTATTAGATTTACTCCTGTGTCACCTGCTCTTACATGTTGAGCATGGTTTGGAATCCAGGGAATCCATGACCATAGTGTGATCTTAGCTTCTCACTAAACACTTTATGAAGCCTAAAAGGAGGCTGGGTTTTGTGGATCATTAACTTTATCTGACATAAAGGCATTTAGGGGTTTAACTTTTGTAATTTGTAATTGCTGCTTCAGTGAGATTTGGGAACATATGTAGGATGAAAATGCCTAAATACACCTGTGGATTTGGGTCAGTGTTCTCAAAGATGCTACTCAGCTATATTATTTAGAAACACATACCAGTTGGTCCTGAAAACAGGTCTGTAGGATCCCTGGCTTCCCTGAAGGGGTAGCTTATACTTTATGAGACTCCTTTTTTTCTTTACTTCCCTGAACCTCAGTATAGAAACAAAATCTGTCTTGGTACCTTCTAGAAGGACCAGATCCTCATAAGCACTGCTGTATATTCGTCTGAGGATACTAATTACCCACATCCGAATATGTTCCAAATTATTATTTAGCCAGTGAATGGCATCCATACTAGAAGGTCAGCATAAGATCCAACAAAAAATTGCCTCTTTGACATACTTTCTGTGAATGTAATCCAAGCAAGGTGCTGGAATTTGGTGTTTCCCTTTGATAAGTCTATCCAAGTCTCTGCTTGGATAGACAAGGCTGGCACAGGCCTGGAAGGGAAACATTCCCCTTACCATTCTGAGAAACATGGCATATACCCCAGGATGAGGAGATAAGGAGTGCAGTTAAGATGTCATGCATATACCTAGGTAACCTCATGAGTCCAGATGACTTCTGAATTTGTGATAGTAGAGATTGGTAACTGCATCTTAAATCTCTCAAGGAATTAGGGGCAGCAGGTTCACTCAGGTCATGCCCTTACAGTGTACTGTTGGGAAGCAGTGTGAAAGAACTTTTATCATCTTTTTAGTACAGGTTTTTTTTTTTGAAAGTGCATTTGGAACAGATTCCACTCGCTTTGCATGTGACAAGTGTGAAGATTGTAGCAACTAACTTGAAAGGGCTCTGTAAGTGTAGATTTTCAAATGCTATTCATCCTTTGGAAAGGAATTTCTTTGTTACCAGTCCAAGCAAGTATCTGAAGGCCTGCTTGGTAAAAAGCACATCAGCTGCCTGGCTCACAATGACTGAAAATGTGTGGGGTTTTTTACATCACAGATCATGAGGTATGTGGTTTCATAGCTTCATGGTTAAGCTGATCTCATTTGGAACAGCTGTGGCCCGTCTCCTTACCCTTGCACTGGCAAATTCCACTAGTCCATTCCACGCAGTTGAGTGGGTTCCCCCCTCCATCAACAGAGCAGCTATCCAAAAACTGGTTACAAAACTCTTCCTTTCCCACCGACCTAAGCTAGCATTTGCTAGATCAGCTCCTTAAGCCATCTTGCCTCAGAGCCAGTGAGGCACAGTACTCAGTGTGGCACAACGGGCAGGAGGGAGAGTGGGACTGCAATAATCCCAGTTTAGATTAACACTGGCTGTCGGAGAACCATGCCCAAAGATTTAGCAGGGCAGAATCGGGATGATCCTGCAGGACGGGGCATAGTGGGTTGTGTTCCTAAAGCTGTCTTCATTTCATCCATTCATTTCCCCTGGGCATGACCTTCCTGTCCTGATAGATTCACAGTTCAGGTTGCTTCATTTATATGTGTGCATCTAAGTCTCAAGAAGAGGTTGCCTGTGCTCTCTCTCCCTCTTCTACAGGTGAAGTTTCTTTCAGAAGATAAAAGAACCGACTTACAAATATTTTAAATATTCAGAATAGAAAAGGTGACTCAGAGCATTTTAGCTGCTCCTCAGAAAGTCCTGTCAGCACCCAAGATGGAAGATTCCTGTTTGTGGATGGATGTAGCCATCTTATCTACATTCTTCATCTAGGGAAAGCCATTACTGCTAATGTATCTCATAGGTGTTAAATCAACATAATTCCATCATTAGATATTTTGGTCTCCTCCTGATTGGAGATCAGAGTAGTGCCTTAATTTTGAAAGTGGAGGTTTAGCATTAACTTGTCAAAGAAAATGTCTTTGCTAAGGTTTTATTTAAATGGCACAAAAGACTGAAAATCACCTTTTTATAGTTAACGTTTTATCTGAGATGCTTCTTGGCTTCTGATCCCGTTTTTCCATTGCCCTTTCCCAATTAATGGTTCATCTTTTATCTTCTGAAATCCCTGTATAACTATTAAAAGCTGAATTATTACCAGAAATGGGCAGAAGGACAAGATGAGTAATGAGGGAGTGATCTCTTGTTTATAAATTGGTCTTTAATCAGCAGTTTAGGAAGGCAGACTGAAAAATAAGTTAAGTAGAGCATGTTTTGAAAGCATAGCTAAGCCTGAATGTGATTCTTAAAAATTGGCCTCACAGGCAAATACTTGATGACTTTTTTGTCCTTATCTTAAAAGTACCAAAACTGAGTTGTTTCTAGAAGATCCTCTGAAGAGAGTTGGGAAATAGGTGAAATGTGTCAGAGAAGCAAGAAAAATTAACAAATTTTTTAATTTAACAAAGAGTATGTTAGAGCAAAGGTTTCATCTGTTGGTAGAACTGGTAAAATGGGCAGTTAAACCCATCATAAAGCTTTTATGCTTTTGTTGTTAAAACTTAAACCTACCACCACAGTCTGTCAAGACACATAGAGCTTGAGGTCTATCACAGTCACCTGTGCCAGCCACCATTATTTTAGACTGTGGGCATACTCCCTTCTCATTTCCCACAACAGACAGAGCCCTCTCCTTGCTCTTAAAGCTCCCTTAGATCAGCTGGATCAGCTTTTCCTGCCAGGCCCTGTGTGGATGGGATTTCTTCCCCCTCCTTATCCAGTCTCCTAATCACTCTTGGTTCTCTTCTTTAGAGAACAAGACATTCACGGAATTAATGCTATTAGCCAAAAATCCTGTTTGCAGGGATGTTTATGGTTTGTTTCCAATAATCAGAGTAAGAGTCTTAAGAAAAAACAAAGCAACAAAGCCAACAAAACACTCGCTCTGGAAAGGATGGAAGGACAGCATGGTAGGGAGCAGTTGTTTGGATCTAAGGGCATTCAGCATGCCCCTTGAACAGAACAAAGGGTCTCTGATGTCTGCTTAGCACTCCTTCATTATTAGCAGAGCTCTGAGGAGTGCTGTCAAGAAAGGGGCATAAATTAACCCAGACCTCATGTGAAACCCAGCATGGGGAAGTTAGATGTGTGTTTCTTTTTCTCGTGCTCCTTAGTCCTTTTGGCTAAGCATACTGGAACACCCCTCCCTAAAAATCTGATGAAATGGAATTTGTTTGTGGGTGGCAGAGGAGCTTTTTGGCTGAAGTATAAGATGATGAGTATCTTAGGTTCAGCTTCTGTTCGATGTGCTGGCAAACTTCTGAAGACTTTGGGTAGCAGTTTTACTCTGTGCCATAGTTTCTTCTTCTCTGAAATGGGACTACCAGTCTACCTCATGGCATGCCGACACTACATAAACTGTAGAATTTCAGGAGATCATTGCATGTGAAAGCACTGGATAGAATATTATTTATTCAGTAGCTGTGAAGGAAGCAAGGGTTTGCTTTAATTTGTTGTGCTCCCTATTAGCGAGGCCTAGTTTCTGGTCTGGGACTGAGTAGACAATCTCACCATTCTTTTTCTCACAGTAGGTTGCTGTGTTGATCTCTAAACCAGATCCCAGCATTCTTTAATACTGCTTTAATCAGGCACTTTACTGTACATAGCCTTTAAAGATTAATGGGTGTGTCAGGTAGCTCTTTGTTATTAAATCATTTCTAGTGTGGTGTAAAACTGAGTTTGCAGCTTGGCACATTTATTGCAGTTGATGCTTTTCAGGAGGATATGTGTGCAATAAGCAGTTTAAACTGAAATTAACCTGACACATTTTCAAATTCATAGTGAATTAGGCTTTGCTTGAACTTTCAAACCTCTATCTTGGGAAGAATGGGTACAGCTTGCTTTCAAGAAATCCTTTTTTTTCAGTAAAATACGCTGGGTCTGTATTCGATGTTCTCTCACTGTGTATTCTCTTGTGCTCTGATTTTAACAGTTTGCATTTTTTAACATCTTTTATATTCAACCTAATGTTCAACTAGTCTAGAGAAGATCTCTGACCACCTAGTAACTGATACTGCATTTTTAAACCAAGCTCTTGTCCTCCCTCTACAGGAGAATTTGCAGCGTTCAAGTAGCCACAGCACCATGGCAGCACCCACTCTGTTACTTAAGTCTTGTGTTCCGACAGTTTCTTAACATCCAAACTCTATTCTGCTCCGCAAAACCTAAAGTAATTTAGAAAAGATATCCATAAGCTTAAAAGTGGAGCAGAATGGAACTGCCAGTCCAACACAATGGGAAAAAGTACCTTTTTGGGAACCAGAATCCTCTGCTGCCAGTGTTTCTCCTTCAACACAAACCACCATGTGCATTCGGAGACCCGCAGTGCTGCCTGTGCCGTTGGCATCATTCCCGGGAGAGAGGAGAGGGCGCTCATGGTTTGACTGTGGTGCTCGGGCATGAGGGGATGGAACTGCTGCTGCAACTTAGGAGACTTGCTTTGGATGGTCTGCCGGTCAGCTTTCTCCCTCTAACAACGTACCATCAGAGGCCGAAAATCTGATGAGTGCTAATTTACAAGAATCATCCTCTGTTCTGATCTTTTTTTTCCCGATGTACTCACTGGTTTATGGACAACGCAGTATCCCCTTTTCACTGTATTACAACATCAAACACCTAAATCCGTCTATATTATTGGGGTTTACTCCGATAAAGTTAAAAGCGGGGGGCGATGGGAGCTGGAGAAGATGTGACTCTAAGGCAGTGAGGTTAATCTGAAGGAAAAGGGGATGCTGCTGCACCTTTTTTCAGATATACTTTATCACTTCTTCAAAAAACATACAACCACCACCAACCTTAACCTGTTTCCTTTTCCAGTGTTTTCTTGGTGTATGCATATACAACATCTTTGAGAAGGATTAGGTAGATCCTTCTTTTTGATCCAGCAACAAACTGAAGTTTAAAAAGCAAAACAAAAAATGTAGCGAGATTGTCCTCTCTTACTCTTTTTCTTTTGTATCATATGATACAATGTATTTATCAAAGATGCTACCACAGCATCTGAAGTCTGTAGAATTCCCGATACAGACTGTGAATGGTGTATGTACCTACTTTAAAAGTTTTATTTTAAAAGAGGGTGCAGGTTAATGCCAGGTACCTTACCGAGATGTAATGTTTTCATAAACGGGGAAAAAAGTTCTCAGGTTGAATTGAATACAAATCCAAACCCCCCTAGAATTAGACATTCCGAAAAATTATGTTTTGGTACTTTCAAGAGCTTTTTTTAAAGGATTTTTATCCTGTTAACTAAACGTCCTCTGATAAGTGTGTGTGTAAATGTGGAGCATCTTGTCCTAATGGCAAGTTGTTAGATCAAAACAAAACGGTACTTGCTGGATCCACGCTGACTACTTCTCCTCTCACAGCTTTCTGCGCTGTCATCTCTTCCCTTCCATTTGTCTTTCCCTTATGTATGCTTTGCAAACTAGGATGAAGGTGGCGGTATTTCCACTAGAGTGCTTTGTTTTCCTGTCCTCCAGTCCTGGTTTTCAGATGGTTGATAGCTTTTTCACAAGTTACCCAGTCAGGGAAGAAGAAAAAACCCAACTCATCAAGTTCTGCACATTGTTTACCTCTCATAGAGTATGTTGTGATGTGATCTGTTTGCAGAGTTCTCTGGTATGTGATATTACATGTAAATTATCTGTACAGAGGCAAGTCAGACCACATGAGAAAGAAATCCAAGTTCAGACAGAAGTTTTCAGAGTTTGATTTGCATCTGCCCTGTAACACTCCAAGTGAGGCAGGAGAACTGATCCCCCCCCCTCTAGCAGGGAGGTACTTGCCGGGAAGGAGAGGGGTGTTAATCATGACAAATAAATGAAGGAGTTAAATGTGTGTGAATGTGGTGTCCGTGCTAAACATGGGTATATTGGGTGAGGACACTGTCCTTCCCTCCCTAGGAGAGCTGGACTGTTTCTGTCTGTAGAAGGTTGCTCCCAGGTGAAGGGAGAAACGCACATCAGTAGTGGGACATAGTGTTAAACCCCTGGGGTTCTGCAGTGTTGCTGGTAGTTTGTTATGTTTGTCAGTAAATATTTACTGGGGTTACAGGGACCGGACTAATCTGAAGTGGGAATTATAACTGAAATACTGTGTATTCATATTAATTCCACAAGCATTAGCAAGACAGCAATAGTGAACGACTTGATAGTCACTACAAGAATGAAGTGATTCATGTTGCTACATGAATAGATTTGATTTTGTGTACAGGATGCATTTAAAAAAATACACAAAAAAAGCAAAAAAAAAAAAGCACAATTTTTTCTTGTCTGCTGTGGGTCTTCAGATGCTGTAAGGTTTCTCCTTATCGAGATTGGCAGGAATTTAAACAGTAGCAATAGCCACTTCCCAGCGTGGAGAAGTTGATGAGCAAACTGGCGTGCATATGGTGAAATCATAGTGCTCCCTGGTGATCATCTGAGGCCAGTACCTAAGAGGTAGAAGGGGCCAGGGCCACTGTGGTCAGCAGGCAGGTGGGAGCATTCACAGACAAACTCCCAGAGGATGAAGTAGTCGCTGCTCATTCTCCTTCTGTGGCCCCATTTGTAGGTGTCGGACATACTGGAAATGAATATTCTCTCGAAAGAAACTTATTGGAGCAAGGTGGTTCAACAGTCATTTGTTTCACAGAGCCTTCTTAAAAACCCTGGTTTCCTTCCACAAGGTCACGCTGGGGGAAGATTGTCTGCTAAAATATAACTGTTAGGAATTGCATTCACCTTTGCTTAAAATTAACTTATTTTTGGTGAAGATTCATTACCCATTAGTCTACAATATGCTTCTTGAGCCCATAGGAAAAGCACAAGGAAAATTGCTATCCTTGTCCATGCAAAGCACTTTATAAGTAACACATTATCTCTCGTTTTGTTTTAGGATTTTGGGGTTTGTTTTGTTTCAGTTTTGTTCTGTTGTTTGTGTTTTTTTTAATGGGGTTTGTTTGTAGTTTTGTTTTTCTGGGGTTTTGGGAGGGGAGTTGGGAGTTTGGGTTTTTTTCTTTTTCCCTAAGGAATGTGCAAGTTGTTTGGCTGCTGTTTAGGGAAGTCCTTTCAGGATGCATTTCTACTGGTTTTCACGTTTGTTGCCCTCCAGAGAGCTGTAGTAGTGTGTGTTTGTCTGTAAAAGGTCCCATGTAATACTCATGCAAAACTTTGGAAGAAATTTGGTTTGTAGATAATTGGGATTTTAATTTTTTTTTAATCTTTTCCTTTGGGAATTTTTCTGGATGTCTTGCATGCCATCAGAACCAGGCTTAAAGGTGCCCTATAGCTGTTTAGTGAATGGGGAGGTAAGAGTAGACGAGAACTGAGTGCCCTGTATAGCAGTGGGATGAAGGAGATAAACTGAAATGACCAATGTGTTCATGTCCATTACACCAAATTTCTCAAGTTTCTCTGTGGTGTCCGAACCACAAGCACATGCCATATTATGGATATGTTAGTTCCCTGGCAGTTTTCAATGCCAGGCTGGATGGGGCTTGGAGCAACCTGGTCTAGTGGAAGGTGTCCCTGTCCATGGCAGGGGGGTGGAACTGAATGAGCTTTAAGGTCCCTTCCAGCCCAAACCAGTCTGTCGTTCTGTGATGATTCTATGATTTTGAGTGTGCGTGTTGGGACAAACATCCAGACAGTCATACTGCTTTTAGCTCTACAGTATCTAGTACCTAATCATTTGGAAAACTACTGGTATCCAGTCACAGATATTCATGCCTTTATTAACCACACATATACCTTCACCTCTGCCTTTCCTTTTCCATACAGTTAGAAGAGGCCTGTTATCTGTTACATCTTCCCTGTCAGTACAAGATCATTTCCTGTGGCATATTTGCCAGAACTGGAACGTAATAATGGAGCTTAAACCAAACGGTATGAGCATAGAGGCCTGGTTATTTTGGAAGTCATTTCTGCTTGAACTAAGTCCTACATAGCCCCAGATACGATTAGCCCAATCATTTCTTTATTGCTAATGCAACTCATGCTGGCCATTAAATGAAGCCACTTCCTGGTTTTCACACTTACTCAAAATCATCCTTCTTTGCACCTGAATGCTCTAGCAGCTGCTGCTGATGCAGGATGTTTGAGGCCAAATACTGCCATCTTATCGTGGCCTGTCAATATTACTTGGATTAGTACATGCTCAGTAGAAGTAGAATTTGGCCTTCATGCCATAAAATGAGTAAATGCTGACTGTTTATAATTACCACGTCTTTCCACAAAAGCCCAAATCAGGGGAAGAAAATACACTGAAGATCACACATAAATAGGTTTGCTTCTGTATTTACCTGTTGATGTCAATGCATCCAGCATTTAACAGACCATGCAGGGAAGCAAGATTGCCAGACACCTCACAAACAAGTATAAGTTGACATTTTGATAGGTGGAGGGGCTAAATTTAGGGAAGAGGCATGTAGACATTTCACACTTTGCAGCCTATAGATTTCATTGCCTTCTATGACTGTGAGTGTAGCATGTGTAGCACAAACTGTTCATAGTACTGTAGATGATGTGTCTTCTGTCTGTTGAAAAAAGTATCACCAGTAGCACAATGTGACAGGCAAAGCTTCTAGGTACAGTCAAGTTCGGTCAAAAAGCAATTGCATGAGAGGACTGTTAGGCCATCACTTTGAAGGTGCTGGGTGTTCCAGTTTTCTGTTATGCATCTTAAATAGAAGTTTGTGAAATCAGTGTTCCGTTGACTGCATCCCTGTTAATATGCGTTTGCACTTCACATTTGTTTTGGCATGCATTTTAAATGTCTATCTTCATTGCTTCATTACTTCTTGCTTAGTAAATGGAATCATCAGAAGAACAGAGAAAAGTTGTTAAAACTTTTTCCCTGCTTTTAAGTTTCAAGGATGCTAACACAGAAGCTACTGAGTCAGCACCGTGACAGCAGTAAGTAACTACGAAACTGTGGAAGGACAAAACATGAAGAACTGCAGATGAAAACTAGCCTCTCTCTTCTTTAGAACAGAGAGCTACCAAGACTGTCCCTTTGTTGCATGGTTTGTGTAGGGATCCCCCCCAACAGTCTTTGCAGTTTGCCAAATGATCATGTGCCTTCACAACCTTAAGAAGTCCAACAGAATGTAAACCAGGTGCTTTGTAACTAGAGCAGTGGCTTTGGTTTACTTCTGCTGCAGTAGTTTTGTACATAGCTATTACTTTATAGGTAGGTAGTTTGGAGTTGGTAAACTTCCGTAAAGTAGCAAGGAGAGCAGACAGCATTCCCCAAAACACCTATTACCATTTCAAAGCTAGAACTGAAGGATTCCTAATTCAGTTACAGGAAACCTGCTGCTCGAAATCTGCTCTATCCAAAGTTAAAAGAGGTTCATTTAATTCAGAATAAGCCCTCCTCCCACTCCAAAGACACAAAGATCTTGTTAAAGGAAGGTAATGGAAAGCCCTGAAGAGGCTCAAAGTTACACAGTTACAATATTACACTGTTATAGCTCCTTGGAATGTGATTGTAGATGAAAAATGAGAGCTGAATGAGGAGAAATTGATGGCTAGTACTTGTGTAATCTAAGTGTGCATATATCAGACTATACACTCAATTCCCTGGCCCAGAAAGTGCTATTAATTGCTTTCTGGAACATCAGCAGGTTTCCTTAGCTATTTTTTGGCCTCTTACAGTAATGCATACTGTTACTGCACATTAACTGTGGGAGATGGTAGGTGTCTTGTCAACTGAGGGGACCCCCCAGTGTGTTTGAATTTGATTTGTTCAAGTTTCAAACCTCTTACGTAGACTTGCGGCAGTACTTAACATACCAGTGTCATATTTACCTACCTGTCCATAAAAGACAAAATAATGGGCTTTGGTATTAGTGCTTTTTCAGATTTTTTTCTTCTCTGGGGCAAGACTTTAGGCATAATTGTGAATTATTGTTATGTCTAAATGCACAGTTCATACAAAATCTCGGAGCAGTTTTAATTTGGCTTTGTTCCTGTTAGGCAGCAAAGTGTAAAAATGTTTTACTCATGTTTCAGGATCTATCTGGAATCCTTCTGCCTACCCCAAATTCTGCACTAAAAGTACATGTTAGGACATGGATAAACTATTACACCAAGAGAAGGGAGCTGATGGGAGAGTTTAGAATCTTCTAAACTACCTAGGCATTTGCTTCACAGTATCACAGCAGCAGTGTCTTCAGCTCATCCAGCCTCCTTAAGAGCCAGCAGTGGCTGTGCGGTCATTTGGTCTAGTTCGTCCCGTTTGCAGCAGCTGTACTGTAGAATAAGCCTTGTGTGACATGTACTTTTGAGCGAGTAAACCACAAAAAATAACTGTTTGCTTTTTTGTTTGGGTTTGGAAAATGGCTGGGTTTTGTTTTGCTAAGATGTTGTTATTCTGTGTTGCATTGGTGTATTCACCAGGGTTGTAGAAAAGATCTCTCTCTGGTTGGGAGCTCAGTGGAACATTAGGAGAACTGCAGGCTGCCAGCTGGGCAAGGCTGTTGGGTCTAGGGGGCAAAATGGACCAAACTTGGGTTATTTTGGGATGGTGGGAGGGGTTCCGAGGGCATAATTTAAGTTAACTCTGTCTAAAATAAAATGTAAGTGCAATAAATGTGCTTTTTTTTTATTCAAAGCTGTGAACCTTTAGAAAAAAAAAACATAAAAAAAAAACAAACAAAAAAAAAAGCACATCATTCCTTCATGAGCCTTGTGTCCTACCTGCCTTCCCTTCCTCCCCCTCTCCACACTTCTCAATGGACAGAAACCCAGCAGCGCCCAACCTGCACGTGTTGGCTACCCCCATTAGCGTTGCTTTTCTTTTGGTCTCATTTGTTGGGATTGGGGAAAGCCCTGCCCCCTACTCTCTGCTCCCTGGATGTTCCGTTGGGATCTGGCACTGACCTGTGCTGCTGGAACAGGGTCTGCTGCTGCTGGGGAGGCAGGAGCCAGCACTATGACAGCAGTGCAGTGCTTCTCCTGCCCCTTCATCCTCCCCTCATATCAGGGGTAGTTGTGGTCTCCCAGGGCTGAGCAGGTGACATTTTCCTACAGCAGCCGTAAACGTAGTTGGTCACTGGGTGCCCAATGGATTCCTTTTCCCCTCTGCCTAGACACACGTGCAGGCTGGCCACTGCTGGCTTCTGTGACTCTGCCTTGTTTTGAAGGAGCAGGTATAGGTGTTTGTAATCCATTGTGCATTACTTGCACTGTCTCTCTCTCTTACTTGAGCGCAGGCTGCTTTTCCTAGATTAGGGAAGGTGCACTGGCCTCCTGGGGGGTTTCATGAGAGGCACAAGGTGTTTGTTTCATTAGAGAGTGATGGAAGGTGTAGCACTCCATAGCTGGACCCCATGGGGGAGTGAGAGAGGACTGGCTTGTTTAAAGTTTATAGATACACAGATCTATAACCTTTAAACTTTATTATTTTTATATATAGTCAAGACAATGGCATTACCTCATAATACAGAGGCTTGTTTATGAGAGGCAAAGTATCTAGTAAGGAGAGGAAAGGGAAATTTATATACGGAGTTGATTTCTTTTTGTCTGTTTGTTTGTTCCTTAGTGCAATGAAGTGTATGTCCCACTGATTTAAACTGTGTGCTAACACATTCCTTTCAGCTGTATTTTTCGTTTTTTGACCACCAGAGGTTTGCAAGGGGCTTGTAACTGCAAAGTAGAAGGTCCAGTCTGGTTACTTAAAAACAACCAACCAACCAACCCAATTGTGTTAGTAGATTTCCATAGCTGCTTTTTAAAACCTACAATGGAGTAATTGTTTTGAAACTTGTATTTATTTTTTACTTCATTACAAAATGTTTATTTTTTGTTTCCTGTTACGTAGGTCATGGCAACCCCCCCCTTCTTTCCTTCTCGAGTTTCCCCTGTAATTGCCAATACAACTTCTTTTTTCTTGTTTGTTCCTTCCCCCTTTACTTTTGTTGTCCCTTCATTTGTACTTTGGAGTTTTTCTCATGTAAATTTGTACAATGGGAAATATTGTCCAGTTTGGTTAGAGAGCATGGAGACTTAAAACATATTAAAATTTGATAGCTGAATTCAGATTGAAGAAAACTATTTCTGTGTAAAGTTATTTAAAGAACTCTGTATTATATAAAAGGCAAAAAGTTCTATGTACTTGATGTGAATATGAGAATACTGCTATAATAAAGATTGACTGCATGGTAAAGTCTGAAGGAGCTTGTTTATCACGCAGTTCCAACTCCTCCTTCCCCAGAGGTACGACTACGGTGGTTAAGGGGAGTGAAAACATTACTTTGATGTTGATTTAGAATGTAACTATGGGAGGAATAAACTAACCCCACCACCACCACCTTCCCCAGGGCTAAGCACAGTAAGCCAGCATCACGGATTTTTACCTTTGCTGTGGGCTTTGCTTCACCAGGGATTATTCTGGGCTCTGGTAACAGCCAAGGGCCCCATTCCCCTTCACCCTGGAGAAAGCTTGGCCTGGGTTCTCTTCAGGGTAACTTCCCCTGCTTCTAAGGCAACTGTTAGGAGGTGACAAGATGCCAGTAGAATGTGTTTTAAGTTAGCTTCTCTGCATGCTAACATGGACAAGTTTTATTTCCTCCCTCCCCCCCCCCCCCCCCCTTCAGAAGTTACTTGACAGAGCTTTAATGGTAAGATTATTACCTGCAGTGCATTTATGAAGTTTTAAATCACTCCCTGGACATGAATCTATCACCTTATTTCTTTGAGGCAGCAAGAACTGAGCAGTAGTGAGTAAACACTAGAGAAGTTCATCCAGACTCCAAAGCTGGAGTTCATTCTCCAGCAATTCTGCAGCACTCAGAAACAAAGTACAAAGTTAACCTAGTGTTTGTTTAGTTACTTTTATTGAAATAAGGACCTGAGGAGCCAAAGCTTTGGTTCCAGGAGCCTCTTTAGTTCCAGGGACCTGCAAGTAATAGAAGAGAATCCTGAGAACCTTTTCACCCACCCTTTTCCCACCATTGAGAGCAGGGGAAGGACCCTCTCGATAGAACCCATGCTGCCTTCTGCACTAGTTGAAGCTGCTGGGTTTACAGCCATGCTATGACACAGTAGCTTCAGAGAGTATGAAACAAGCAAAAGCCTCAACCCTTCAAAGGGATAAGTGCACAGGTCTCTCTAGAAAGAGAAGATAGGTCATGCTGCGTTTATAGGACAGCATGAATAAAATTATCTTAGGCAGCAGTTAAACTACAACTTAGTTGCTACACTGCAGGCTTATATTGCCACAACTAGACTGTCAGCACTGGAGCATTCAGGTACCCAAGACAAGTGTATGTGAAGGCAGTAAACGCTGCCACGAGCTACCTGCACTCTGTACAACAGAGATTTGGCACATTTACCTTCGGAAGTGCACAAGTAACTGCTGCAAGTAGAGTACCTGTAGCAGTGCCAAGAGAAGGCGCCCAGCAAGCACCGCCTGGCGCGACTCCCTGGCACCGAGAGCTCTGAAGGAAAGGTAAAGCACAATCCGGGCTGCCGTTGGCCTGGTGACCGCGCTAATCGCTCCTTACAGCGAATCCCGGCCCAGCCGCAGCGCCCGGGGGCCTGTGCGGGAGGAGCCGTACCGGTGTGCTCCGGGGAGCGAGGGCACCGCGGCCGGAGGCGCCTATTCCGCGTCGTCCGGAGGGATCCCCAACTCCTCGTCCGTCCAGGCCGAAGGGTCGGGATAGGGGAAGTGGCCCTGGGAGAGAGGCAGGCTCAGAGCCCAGCCACGGCCCCCCGCCACCCGGCCCCCGCCACCGCGCCGGACTCACCAGCACCATGTCCGAGCTGTGCCAGAAGTGCCACAGGATCCAGAACCACATGAAGCCGCTGAGGAGCTCGCTGCGGATCACTTGCGCCCGCGTCAGCTCCGGGAACTGCCGGTACCGCGGCTGGATGTGCACCTCGCCGCCAGCGCTGCAACAACCGCACCGCTGCCGTCTCGCTCCCGGCCCCTCCGATACCCGGCCCGCCCCCCCGGCCCGCCCAGCCACACTCACTGCCGCCGCCCGACCGCGCCGCTCCCGGCCCGCAGCAGCCGCCCCGCCGAGCGGCCCAGCGACGCCAGCGCCATGGTAGCTCCACCGCCCCCCAATGTCACCCTGCACAGACCAACAACAGCCGCCGCGATTGGCCCTCCGCGCCTACCGGCGCATACCAACTCCCGGCGCGGAGGGATGAACGAGCCTGGGTAGGAGGGAGACGAGACGCACAGCACCAGGCTGCGGCTCAGCACGGAGACACGAGGTCACCGAGACACTTGCACGGAGACTCCTCCGCCACGCTGTGCCGCTCCCACCCCACCTCTGTGTCTGAGAGGGCAGCCCTGCCTCTCCGCCTCCCCCAGCTCTTGGAAGCGGCAGGACGGCACCAACACACCGGCGGGGGGAGAAAGGGAGTCCATCGTGAGTCACAAAAGTTGTTGTCGCTCACGGAGCGCGCAGAGGAGGGGGCGCGGCGAGTGCTCGTTTCGGAGCGGGAGAAGGCGATGCTGGGTGTTCGTCTTTAAGGAACGGGCTAAAGATATAACCTGCTCCTCTTCTCCCCCCCTAGGAGGACTGGGTGGTCCAGCCCACAGCGTTCAGTTGCGTAGCAACGGTGCTTTAGCGCGGCATCGATGGAAGCCGTGCGCTGAGGGAGCATTTCCTGCTGACCCGCGCCCCCGGCGAGGAGAGGCGAAGAGGGGGGCACCGGTGGTGGGAGGGCGGCACCCGCAGGGGGCAAGGCAAGGAGGCGTTGCGGTAGCGGGGATGCAGAGGTGAGCTGTGTGGGGCACCTGAGCACAGCAGCACCCAGTGAAGAACTGCACACCTGTCCCACGTTAGCAAAGACCTGCACGTGTGAAGGGCGCTCCTGTTCGTCCTCTTCGCTTTCTTTCCTCCTCCTCTTATTTTTCCCTTGTTTTCCCAGACTCAATCTCCACTTTTTTCATTCTTCCTTGATTTCAGATCCTCTCATTGACCTCGCAGCTCTTGCTTGCTTGGGGAGCTTGGACAGCTAAGGATCAGGGTACAAGACTCAGCAATCCACACATGACACTGGCTGCCCATAACATATTGTTTGAGAGCCAGGGGTGGATGGAGTGGGAGGAAGCCAGCAAGTTTGATATACCTGCATCACTGCTGAGCATGGAGAGGCAGCATCAGCAACCTGCTGCCTGTCTCCAAGCTATGCCTGGTCCTGAGAAACTGGTGTATTTTCCAGGTTCAAAGCTCTTTACTAAAATCACTTAACTGAAAGGAATAAGAATTAGTAAGATGGTAAAACTATTCTGATACAAGAATCACATGTCTAGTGCCTCCTTCATGGCAGAGTAAAATGGTGACAGGATCTGAGATGGGCCGAAATGGATATCTGCTATAACTTTGTTTATACCTGAAATGACACTTCATCCTTTGAGCAATATACCTCATCGTGATTGAAGAAAGGGCGATACAGCTGCTACATACCTAGCAGCTAAATAGAAAGCAGGTGAAACACAAGGGTTCTTTCATAACACAGTTCTTGTCTCCTTTCCAAGCTTGACTGCTTAAGACCCTAACAATCTGTGATGAGCTGATAGACAAATAGTGTAGTATCCCAAGGTTTGATGGAAGAATTAAAACAAAGAGGGAAGTAATACACTGGGAAGTAAATTTCAGTTTTATAAATAATATTCCTGTTTAAGGATTTAAATGTTAAAATATCATGCTCATCTTCTGCTTCCACCTCCTTCCACCCTCCAGGTAAGCTCCATGTCTGTCTCACATGTCCGGTGCTGTCATGCAGCTCATAAAGATCTCTGTGGCTCTCTGCTGCCAACATGTCCAGCAACACAGTGAGTTCAGAATCTATAGATGGGTCACTAGAAAGGCAGAGGAGAAAAAGCCAGGAAACAAGGACAATTACTGTGGGGTGGGAAGGGTGTTCCATGGGCACTTCACTTGTTTTCGTTATAGCAAGTTGCAGGAGTTCTGTTGCCAAAGTCTTCATTAGTTGTATTTCCATTTTCCACAGCTTTCCTGTCTGTGCATGGAACCCAGATTCCTTTTGTAGGTCCTCGATATCCTCAGCAAAAAGGAATTTCATTGATTCATACCCAGAGGCTTCCAGTTTTCTGAGGGGGGCTCGTGTGTTGGCCAGAAGAGAAGCTGATGGCTATTACTACCTAGGGCACATTGCCCAGGAGGTGAAGGTAGTTATTTATTGGGAACTCTGCTGCTCTGTGTGTCTTCTCTGTTTTTCCCATGCCTCACTGGTCCCATGCCCTTGCTGTGGAGTGGCTCCCCTTTCACACAGTGCACTTAGTAACCGGTAAAGTCTCCCCACATCCTACTTCCGTGTTTCCTGGCGGTGACTAGCTCTTTACTCTGAGGAGTCCTGCAAGCAAAAGCAGCCTAGAAATCAGTCCATTTAGTAGTTATAATGAGCTGGTTTCCAGAGACAATCAAACAAACCAGGTCCCCTATCCCTGTTACTTGCTTCTGCCCAGTCTAGCAGCAAAGTCAATGAGCTAAACAGCATACCAGTAACCCAAAATGTCCTCCTCCAGGGACCATGCCCTCCTGCTTACTGAGCCAGAAGTTTTCCTCATTCTCTTCCAGCTGTTTCTGGGATTGGTGAGATGAGTTTGGGTTCCAGACGGAAAATCCCCCCTGCAGGTTTTCTTTAAAAATCCAGTTTGTTCTGGAGTTCGCAGTGTAGTTAAATAAATAGTGATGCTACTATAGGTCAGGATGGCTGCAAGCTCCAGCATGGGGTGGAACAGACGGGGACAGCTAAAGGCACAAGTGACATTAGCTGGAGTCTGATGCATTAGAATTGCTGATGGCATTACATTGTAAGTGCACTCACAGAACTGCAGAGGAGGCTGAGACTTCAGTAACAGATCTTCCCCTCACCCATTGCTGAAGGCTTAAAGTAAAGCACTTAGATTTATGACAGTTATGATATTTTACTGGTTTGTTATCCTTTTGATTACTGCAGAACAAACTGCACCATACACAGCAGTTTCTTTTGGCTATTCTTTCTGATGGGAGGTTTTCCTGGTAAGATTCTGCCTTAGCATGCTAATTGTGTTCTTACTAAAATCCAAGTCCAAAATTAAAGGAAGAGAAAGGCTGCCAGCCCCTTGAGCCCCAGCCTCATAATTGCTTTTAAAGCCCAACATGGACATGGTACAGTGAAAAACCTGGTAGAAAAGGAAATTTACATTCCCAGATTACATTCCTCTTCCTGGGATTTCTGCCACTTCCCTCTTAGCACTTACGTTTGGCCGATAATTGGCCCCAGATGTGTGTCTCACAAACAGCATGTTTTACTCTTGTAGGGCTCCAGGGAGCGCTTTTTAATTGAGTTTGACAGGAGTGGCACTCTGAAAGGCAAGGCACAGCTTCGAATACAGGAAACCCCTCTCTACGACATTCTCCACTATGAAGATGCCAGGCGACAGCCGCTTGCTCCAGGAGACAGGGTCTTAGCACCGTGGGAGGCTAGAGCTGAGCGTTTTGGCCCAGGCACTGTGCTAAAGGTTCTGGAGAACAAGGAAGCATGTTTAGGTACGGGGGAATTGGCTTTCTTTGCAGTGCTACACCCGCCATGGTTGCCGGTTACTATACAGAAAAGAGAAGTCTTAATCATGGAGAATTCACCACCTGCTGCTTGGGTTCTCTTCAGCATCTCTCTTATTTTTGTTGTTGTTGGCAGTAAGCAGCCTGTTCTTTTTCGGTGCCAGAATTAATGCAGCTCCCAGAATTAATCTTTGCTTTGTTCTGTGAGTGGAAACTTCTTAAAAGCCTGGGAGAGAGGCACGTCACATCCTACTAACACAAGGAGATAAACGTTCTTGGCCCCCATGAATATTCACCTGGTGATCTGTCAGTCTAGTTTCCAGCTTTTGCAGAGCAAAATCCCGGCTCGCTGTGATGAGCAGGAATGTTGCTATCTGCTGTGTCTTCATAGGAAGTTCAAAACAAGGTCAAATTTTAAACCTTTCAAGAAAAAAAATCACAGAAGTTGTCACAAGCTTGTGTGAAACACAAGCTGCTGCTTTTATCTCCAGCCTTCTAATAGAAAAAGCGCACAGGTTGACATACATTCTATGCCTTTATTTTCTTTCTCAATATGCACAGCACACAACAGAAGGGGAGTGCTTGTGAATTTCTGGAATGGGCGGACTAAGGAGGTGTCTTCTGACCAAGCTCTGCGAATTCCTCTGCCCTTAAGTGAACGCATCATCCTGGAACTGCAGATGCCTTTAGCAGCCAGGCAGATGGTGGTAGATTCAAGCTTGGATTATCCATACATCGTGGCACCGGGTTATAGAGCCTCAGGCCATTACAGACAGGATCCCTCAGACCTGCACTACTGGCCAAAGGGTCTGTATTCAACTCGGCCATGTATTAAGTGTAGTTGTAGGTGTACCTCGCTTCCCCATTGCAGCCTTGAAGCCTGGGAATCTACGCAGCCTACAGGGTGCAAAGGGCAGCAAGAGGATGTCTTCATCCCAGGAACAAGCTTCACTAAAAAAGAGCTCAGCAATAAAATAGAAGAGCAAATGTCTGAATTGAGTATTTCATGCTCAGAAAGTGTTTTCAGAGAAGAAGAGGAAATGGAAGATAAGGGATTGAAGACAGAAAATCTTCCAAATGAAGTTCAGCCTTGTTTGGAAGAGGACAATGAAGTTACAGAACCTAAGAAGGTAAAAAAAGTTTAATCCTGGCTCTTCTGTTAACATGTGGTTTGCTATTTGTATAACGTCTGCTTTGTTACCTCAAGTTTTCTGCTCTTGGTACCAAAAAATTGCTAGAGGTTTTAGGCCTGGTCCTTATGTATGTGTTCTGCACTGTCTTCCTGATCCTTCGCCTGTGGAAAGAGCTAGCTGTTACTATCACTGCCTGGAACAGACCCCTAGAACCTCTTCCATGGATGCAGAATATGAAGGAGTGTCACATAGTGCAGTTTCTTTACATCCTGCCTCTTCATGAGGGAAGCAAAGGCAGGAAAAAGTCTCATACAGAAGACTTTACACTGGATAAAGATTACTGTAAGGACTACTCTATACCAAGGCAGTCCCTGCATAATTCTGTTCAGGTATTTCTCCACTCTGTTAGAGGCATCACCTCTCCCAGTGAAAGAGCACAAGAGACTCCTGTGATCCTTGGTAGCTGATTTGGTGCCTGTGAACAGGGCACTTGGTGAAGATCAGTATGGAGGAGGCACCAGCTAGTGCTAAGCTTTTGCCCATGGTTATGTAAGGGTTAGAATCCTAATTTCTGGCACCATAAACGTGACTGGCTTCATCCTCTGGCCTGATCTCTTTTCTACCAGTTTGGACCCTTACAGGGGAAGTACTGCCATTTTTAGGTCACCTGAACATGCAGAGAGGGCCACAAAGGGATCACAACTTATTCTACTATGGAGTTGTTTCTTTAGTAAAGAACTTGCACAGAATTTCTTTTTACTGTCTTAAACTCTAGTTGCAACGTAAGTTCTCTAAGTTCATGATACTACCTGTTCTTTAGGTCTGGATTATGATTGTATTTCTTGTTATTTCTAGAGTCCTCAGATGGAGATGGCTCATGCTATGGTTGATACTGCCGTCAACACAGACAGCTGGTTAATGGAGACAGTCCACAAGGAAGAAACAGACAGCAGACAGCAGGATGCTGAAACTGAGGCTCTTTTTAAACACAAACACGGTATTGAAATTGCAGCTCTTTTATCCAAACGTAAGACTTGCCACACAGTGTCAGTCCTGCAGGCCATCATGTCTAAGATCTGTTGCCATATTCTCGGTGTTTCAAAAGAAAATGCCATAATGCCATGCTGTGAATACAGCCACCATAACGTAGTATCATTCTGTGGAGGTATTAATGGTGGTACAGCTTGAGAAGTTGTTCATCTTCTTCCCTAGGTGAAAGGTTTATCAGATGGAAGTTGGGGTTTTTGGCTTCTACACCCATTGAAGTAGCAGCTTTTGAGTTTTTTAACCTTTATCATAATGCTCACTATAAATATATTACAAAATTTCCTTACTTTAAAAATCAATCTGTAAGGTTAACTATGACTGCCTATAGCAGAAAGACTTCACCAGGACTGTTCTGCAGAACACTCCTCCTCTGTGCTGAAAATGACAACAGTAAACTTTTGTTCTCTTATCATCCAAAAGAGGCTGGATCCTGATTTTAAACATATTGTTACTGTTCTTATTTAAGTCAGTTTTGTGACAACTGCAGGCATCTAAGTGAGGATTCTGAAAGCCTAAAGCTTTCTCTGTTACCACATTGTTTTGTGCCTCTGCTGGTAGAGGGAGAAAGAAAAGTCAACCAGGAGTGCACGTTTCCTCCCAGCTGGTGTCCCACTATCATTCCATGCAACAGCTGTCACTCTGGTGTACGCTGTCTTTAGCAGAAAGGTGCAACCAAATGCTGCTCGTGTTCTCAGTTATCCAAAAGCTGTGTTAGCACAGTGCTGTGCCCAAGCTAATTTCTCCTGTCTCTCAGCAGGACGGATAGGTCAGGCTTCGCCCTGGCAAGCAATGTGTAGTTTTTCCATGTCTCAGAGCACTGGCAGGAGCAGCTCATGTGTGTCTGTGAAATACCATGTAAACAATCCTGAAGCCTGAGTAGCTGGAAGTGCAGTCAGTGATCTTCTGTTACCAGGCAAAACTTATGCTTGATTACAATGGCAACCTTGGTTTTTGAAAGCTAGGACCTGTTTTGTGGACACTAAAAAAAAAAAAATATCCCACCTCCTCAGAGGAAAATGTTGGTACTAAGTTACTCCTTAACTCTATCCCAGCCAAAATTGGGACATAAGTTATCAAAGTCTTGATGGAATATATTTTATATGAGAAGACTTTCTTTTCATAAGCTGCCTATAACCTCATATGTCCCTGCCCTAATTTATTTGAAAGGTCTTTTTGAGTCCAGAGTCGCAGAAGCTCCAATCCAGCATTCCCAAGGGAACCCTTCCATGGGAACCAGTGCTTTGGTTCCTTTCAGGTGCCAAAGCTTCTTTGACAGAGTGAATCAATCGCTACAGAAAGACAGCCTGACCATCGGATCAGCTCTGCGTACACAGAGGCCACATAGCACCTCCAGTGGGCAGTTTAGGAGATCCACAACTCTCAGTCTTCTAAAAGACAAAAGCATTACAGTAAGTATTTGTTCCAAACTAGATTTAGCTGTTAGGGCCAAGTGATTTGTTTATGTCATGGGAGAATATCATAGAATCATAGAATGGTTAGGGTTGGGAAGGATCTTAAAATCATCTAGTACCAACCTGCTTTTGACCTCTTTCTCTAAGGTTTTGACTATAACAGAAATCATGCCTATGTAGAATAATGACTATGCATAAATAGAAACGTGGTTTCCACTTGAGAATCAGTGTTGTACAGGAACAGGGCACTTTTGGTGTTTTTACTTGGCACTTTTGATAGAGTTTTTTATTTTGGCTCTTATATTTTCTAAGTCAAACTTTCAGCCTCTAGTAGACCCTAGATAGCAAAAGAATTATTCCTCTTTTACAGATACTGAAAGCAGAAAAAGAGAAAGTTTGTGTAATGAGCTGAATCACATAGCCCAGGGAGTGCGTGCATTTGAGAGAGGAAAATGTTTTGTGGCAACTCTGTTCCAGACCCAAACAGCTCTAATTTTGTAATCTGGAAGCATGTCTATGTTTTCATAATGTTCCCTTGCTCCTTCCCTCATAGAGGAGTACAAAAGAAATAAATGGCTGTGAAAAGAAGCCTTGTAGGTGCTCCTTCATCTCTTTACACAGCACAGTGCATTTTAAAATGCAAGTTAGGAACACTGCCCAGCATTGAAATGCAGCTACTACTGGAATAAACACAGACTCCTTGACCCTGGGTAGAAACCTCAAGCAGGAAGTGAAGAGTTAGTACACCTGCAGAGAACTCCGGGAAGATTTTGTGTTTGGCCAAAGGGAGGCAGAAGTTCCTCTTTCTAATAAATCTAATTAGGAATCTGTACTCTGATTTGTGGTCAGAACCTGTAATTTCCATCCATTCCAGGAGCTGACACAAAGATTGGGCAGTTTAAGCATTGGCTCAACACTGGAACAACCAGAACAGCACAACCTACTGACCTAAGAAGAACTCTTAAAACTGGATTTTCAGACACCCCTTTGTTGGTTAAGCTTATTCTTTTGTACAGGCTTTAGCATCATACTCAGCTTTTTCACGGGTGGGAAGTGACACAACAGTATTCATGAGCCAGTATTCATGGAACAGTTTTCGTGGAAACCAGTGTGGCTTCCAGAGCTCAGGAGTGACATTAGAAGACTAAGCTGTTCTGGTTCTGTAGGTTTACAGTTTGCATTACGTAAATATACTAATGAGATTAAGGGGTTTGGTTTGATTTTTTTTCTCTTAGAAATCAATCCTTAATGGTGTGTCTCAGGAGAGATGGAAGGAGATGGACTTCAACAGAGCCAAGATTGAGCACAAAAGACGGCAAGAGGAACAGAGGCAGCTGAAGAGGGAGCATCAGCAAGAGGCAGATGGCATCCGACGCCAGCTGCGCAGGGACAGTCAGAGGTGATACCTATGAGCTAAATGTTTTTGTAGTAAATATGAGAAGGTTGGTGATGTCTACTCGCTGGTGCTCTTATTCAGTCTCTGAACATAACACGCTGTGCCTCATACGTCTCTGCAGAGTGGTCATGGTACTTTACTAACAGGAATAAAATTGCTGCTGGAGATATAGCTGAATGGGTACAAATGGCCTTCACACTCACTTTCAAGGGCAGATTCTCTTCAACCTCATACTCACCCAAAGTCCTTTTGCCTCCCAAATCCCCGTTCCCTGCCCCAGTCCACTTAAGCTCAGCAGATCTTCACCCCCATGACCCAGCTCCTTCCATCTCTTCTGTTGCCACTGTAGCTCTATCACCAAGGCACATAGCCACCCAGTTGCCAGCCCTGCCTGCACAATCCATTTTCATTGCTCCTGGTCTTCAGGGCCAGGAACACCGAGCCACACCAGGTTAGGAAAGTCAGGTGAGCAGATGACAGCACCAGCCTATTTGGGGTTTTTGCCACCCCCGCTTAGGACACAGGTTTAACCCTCATAACTTGACGAAGAGTCCTGCAATATTAACAGAGCACAGATTGCCAGAATATCTGCCTTGTGCCTCATGCACTGTCTTATTCTTTTATTGCTCTTTCTTGCTGAGGAATTTGAGAGATTTTGTTCTGGAAACAGGCAGCGATTGCATCAGAGAATATTGCAAGAGCTGGAGAAACGGCTGGAGCAAGAAGACAGAGCTTTGCAGCACATGGCACTGCTCCAGGCTGCTAGGGCAGAGAGGAGCAGGAAGGAATCCTTCTTCCCAGAGGAGGAGAAGAGGAAGGCAAGTCAGAGGTTACAGTTCTTAAAGACACAGTATGTGCAGAGAAAGGAGCTGCAGGCAAAACGGAATGAAAGGAGCTTTGAACAAGAGAAAGAAAGGCTGGTAAGAGCAAGTGCAAAATGTTTTTCCTGTACTACCATGTTTCCAGCAGTGGCACCATCCACAGTATTTCTCTTTCACCTGTTTCATATGCAATATATCCAGTATAATTTAGAGGTAAAGAAATGAAGGGTAACAGGGTTTTTTGACACATGTATGAAGATGAAAGATGGGAAGTAAATTTGTCCATTTCTGCCACAGAAAGAGTCCTTCTACATGTAAGGAATGAATTTCCATGAATTATACCCATTTCTGGCTTCTGCTGGTGATAAATGTGGATGAAATTCAGCATGAAAGCTGGCTGTGCAATTGTAAATGTCTTTATGTAGGATTTTCTCAGGAGCAGAATGCAGTCACGGCAGGAAATGTTGGAACAAGAATCACGGGAGCAGGACAGGCAACAAAAAAAGCAGCAGGCTGCCAAAGAGAGAGTGTTCCAGAGCAGAGACCGTTCACGCCAGAAGGTGGAGAAAGAAGGCCAGCAACTGGGTGACCTCCAGCAGTACCTCAGAGAACAGAATCTTTTGATGCTCCGGGCATCGCTACTAGCATAAGGAAGCTGCAGAGTGGGTAAGCAGGCCCTTGAGGCGTTCACAGACCTGATCTGTATCTTGTAGCTGTGTGTCAGTGTACCAGAGCCTGGGTGCACGAATGCAGTTGTGACAAGTAGAATTGTGGTTTCCAGAGAGGTCTTTCATCTCCTTTACGTTGCAGCCAGAGTTCACTTCGGTAGAATCATAGAATAGTTTGGGTTAGAAGGGACCTTCACACATTTCTTTCTGGAGTTACTGTTCTAGTTCACCTCTGTCAAGCTGTTCTTTTGTCTCAAGCAGCCCTGCTGACAGACCCAACTCTGCAACCGAAAGCTACCTTGGTATTTAATGAGACACAGCCATACTGCTGAGTTTCTGCCCCAAAGGCATCTTGAGGTGCCCAGCTCTTTCCACAGGGCTTCAAGGAGTTGGTGCCTGTAATGTGAAGTTGTAGTCAGAGGCTGGTGAAAGGGTCATGAGGCAATTCAGAGTGGAGCAGCAGGGAACCTGGGAATTATAAAAGTGATTCAAAGGGCACAGGACCTAGAGTCTTCTGGCGGCATCAGATTGTAACTGCTTTCAAGATGCAAATGACAGAGAAAGGAGGAATTAATTAAGTGAAGGTATGGGCAATAGATACAATAGGAGGTGAAGAACAAGAAAGATCAGGAGAAACACCCTGGGAATGAGTCCCTTACATGAAGTGGTGGAAGCACAGGCACAGGTTAAGTCCTGCTAACACAAGCCTGTGGGGAAATTAAATAAAGGCGTGAGGAGCTCCCCATTCCGCTACTGCATTCTGTGAACTTTCTGCCCTGCTGTGTTTCTTCCAGACCAGTGCCAGAAGAGCACATTTATTTCTTTAAGGTCAAGGACCACATAAAATAGGAAGTGTGGTTAAGTGATGCGGTCATATGACTTGCCTTGCTATGTTAAAGTTATATGAAAAATGGGGAAGGAGAGCTAGACACCAGCTGGATGCAAAACCAAAACCAACCCTGTAGCAATGGAAATGTACAATGTAAATTATCCGCTGCAGTTTCCATTATTAACAACAGACTCTTACAAGTGCCCCATTGCACATGAGTTGTAGAGACTTGTAGAGAAGTCCCCATACCTATGACAAAGTTCACAGAATCACAGAACGGTTTGGCTTGGGAGGGACCTTAAAGCTCATCCTGTTCCAACCCCCTGCCACGGGCAGGGGTACCATCCACTAGACCAGGTTGCCTAAGGCCCCACCCAACCTGGCCTTAGGCTTGTGCTACTTCCTGCTAAAACTGCTGTAGGGGACAGGGCAAGAATTCAGGGACAGGTGAGGTGCTACAGAAAACGTGGTAAGACAACTTGGAACCCTCCAGCTTGGGCTCCAGGTAAGTGTCAGGGTTACGTACTGCTTGGAATACGCAAGCCACTCCCCTCGAGGAAGAATGAGTTACAGAAGCCTAGAATGCAAAAAGGAAGGTGTTTTTTCAGTGACAAGACACCCTTTCCAGGCACTATGATGTGAAAAATGTCTGTTACCTGCTGTATCTGTCTCTGGAGAATCACTAAACCCTGTGCTGGGCTTGGCAGTCTGTTTTGCCTACAATCTTGTGTTCAGGCTGGCAGTCTCCAACAGCAGGTAATCTTAGACCAGAAGGATACTCAGGTATCTTTGCAGATAGGGCACCTGGTCAGAATAAACAGACTTTTTGTTCACCATGAATAAATGAGATGGGAGGAGTTCCCCATTCTAGCTACAGGCCAAAACAGTTACTATTTGGAGTCCACGATGCTACTTGCGCATGACTCCCCTCCCTGATTTTTCTAAGCACATTACTGACTTCCTCAGTGAAGCGTGTGTTGTCAGCAGGAGAGAAGAGGGTTTTTAACACGCTGTACTCTGACAAGTGGAGGTGCCTTCTTTCACAGAGGGGAGGAGGAGGTTACGCTTGTCACATCCTGAAGCACTGTCCTTCTTCCTCATATCATCAGAGGTACAAAATACAGTGGCTGCATCACAGAATGCTGTTGTCAGCCTTGGGTAGCCAGAAAGGTAACTGATTTATTCACATGAATATTTAGGAAGGGAGAATGGACATGGCATGATTTGTTTGCTGGAACGCTCAGAGCTCTATTGAAGAATGTTAATTTACACAAAATTATGCTGAAATGTAGCTAATATTTCCAATATCTTGTTTTAAGTATACCTAGAACAGAACTAGATACAAAATGTAGATGTTGTTGCCTGACGTTCTGTGTACACTTAGAAACATGTTCCACATTTTCTGGCACATCACTCAGCAAAAAAGCATGTTATGAAATTCACCCCTTTTCCAGGACCACAGCATCAGCCATAACAGCAATTTCTGAAAGAAAAAATTAAACTTGCAGAAGGGAACCCCTCTGTAATTCTGCCAAACCTTTTGTATGGCCAGCAGCTTCTCAGCAGTGAGGCTCAGGCTGCATTCCTTAAGAGATAACTGAGAAGCTATGCCTTCAACTTTCCCCAAAAAGGCAGTTAAGTCTCAGCCAGATGTTTATTCTAAGGCCTTAATAGCTAAAAGGGGTATTTTTAAACTTTAGGATCTATAATATGCATGAACTATTCTGAGATTTTTATCAAAAAAGAAAGGGGGGGGGGGGAAGGAAAGATTAACCTAAATATAAGGTGAAGGCTTAGGCATTTAGTTAAGGTCTGAAAAAAATATCATTTGCTGCATACATGGAAACTACATGTGAGGCACAGTTTTGCATTTCACATTGAATTCTGTCATTTTATTTGAGCTCTGTTTAGTCTCTGGAAATGCTGGCTGAAATTTCCTCAGAAAGCAAACCGGTTGCTGTGCCCCCGACCTGCACAGCTGATGGACTCAGCCCCTCAAGCTAAGTGGACGTGGCAAGAGGGAAAGCAGGTCCTGGCAGCACATGAAGGTTTTCTCTAATGTAAAGTTTGGGGGTCTCTTGCTTTTCTTCTTCTTTCAGTGGAGATTTAGATTAGATATTGGGAAAAAATTCTTCACTATAAGGGTGGTGAGGCACTGGCACAGGTTGGCTGAAGAAGCTGTGGCTGCCCCATCCCTGGCAGTGTTCAAGGCCAGGCTGGACAGGGCTTTGAGTAACCTGGTCTATTGGAAGGTGTCCTTCCCTGTTGAAGGTGTCCCTGCCTGTGGCAGGAGGTTGGAACTGGATGAGGTTTAAGGCTCCTTCCAACCCAAACCATTCTGTGATTCTACGTTTCTCCTTTACACAAAATCATGCGCTACTTAACAGTGTATCTTGTTATGAGTTTAAGTCTATTAGACTTAAAGAAACAAACCTAAAACTTACTTAGTCTCAAACTCTACTGTTGCTTTTATCCGTAAGCATTAGAAGTGGAACATGTAATGGTTAAAGGAAAATACATTAAATATATTAAGCAGCATTTAAACTTAATTTTCAGACTTCACGTATTAATCATTATTTTATAACCACCATAAAAAAACAGATTGTCTGCTTAAGGTCCTTTTCTTGATTGCTTAACCATCTGAAAACAGACCACTGCAGAAAAACTGTGCTGCTACATTTTCACATGCAGTGTATCTGGGAATATATTTAGTATTATAGTATCTCCAGTCATTTGTAGCCTGTATTTCTCACTATTAAAATGCAGCCATAAAATAATCTTAATGCAATTAAAATGACTGTAAAAGCCACATTTTGCTAGCTGTAATTAATTTTAAACGTTCACAATGCATTTTCCACCCATGCCTGGACTCCTTGTTTTGCAAACTACTGGAAACAAAAGGCACAGATTTGCATATTAGTTAAAGCTTTGAGTTGATCAGGATGAGACTAGGGGAACAGTGGGGAGAGTGATAGGAAGGAAGCGCATAGAGAAATAAAAAAGGCTTTTTTTCAAGCTTAAAAACCCAAATACAAAACACTAAGAGCAGTACAAATATTCCCAAAAGTTGTTTTTTATTATGGAATTCAGTCTCCTGCCTAGGCAAGTATTTTCTTTTGCTGTTTATCTGTATTGTGCTAGAGTGGTGGGGAGGGGGTGTCCATTTGCCTGGTCTGTTTCTATCATCCCAAATGCCTAAGAACACACCACTCCCTGCAGGATCTCAGGACACTTCTACAATAAAAGTGTAAAAGACAAAAAGTTTATTGGCTTTTTTTCAGCCTGAATGAGTTGCTTAGGTGGTGTTAGAACACCATGTCTCATACCACAGTGACAGGTAAGTCAGTGTAACAACTTTACATATTTAACCTGATAGATTTCAAAACAGACTGGATCAATGAACATCTTTTTAAAGACTTTTAGACAAGTCAGGCTGCTTTTCTCATCAGGCTGCAGCGATCATGTGCACCTAAACTACATGATATGCCAGTTTAAAAATTATCAGAGCACATTAGCTCTTAGAACTATGCGATGAGTCAGAAGTCTCCAATTGTGCAAAGTCTTTCTGTTTTCTGGAATTCTGATCATCTCAGCCTGGTGCTTGGCTGAAACAACTGAAAGCAACATTAATGGAGAGTAACCTCTGCATGGTATGTCCCCAGGAGAAACATGACTTCTCACCATGAGCTTCTTTCTCAGTCAGCTCACTGACGGCAGAGGCATAACCCTGCACAGAGAGGGGCACCAGCCACAGAAGTCTATCTGAGGACAGAAGCTGCAGTTTTGATGAGCAGTGGTTTAGCTGCCTCTAGAATGTCCAGTTCAGGATCCAGGGAACGACCAAGTCCTTCCAGAACCATGATGGCAAAGATGATAGAAGCAAAATTGCTCTCAAGCTTCACCTAGAATGACAAGAGACTAAATGGAGTTGTCAGAACTTACTTTCTCCTGAGCCAGTTCTACAGAATGGCCTAAGAATTCCACAGAATTCTCTGGCTAAGCTCAGAGGGAAGGGAAGAGACTGGGAAGACCTTATGCATACCTGAAGGTATGCTGCAACTCCATCACTTGTGAGTTTCAGAACTCACTGAAATCCAGCAGCAGGCCCAAAAATAAGGTGACAGTTTCAGGTTAAATGCCCTAAGGGAACCTAGAAGTTTGTTTTTCAGCTCCAGAAGGGGACTGGGATTTTTTTTTTCTTCCGTACTGACATAGCAGGAGCTTAGGAGTCCTCACCATTGCTAGTGTAGTTATAAGCTGCAGTATCCAATGTACTTGAACAAGGGCACATGCATAAATGGGACCTCACCTCCTGAATGGCTACAAAAGAGCCCCCCAGATCACAGAGGAAACCTCTGCTCTGCATGTGACCAAACTATTCCCCAGTTCTCAGCCAGGTACTGGGATTGTTTCAAGGCATACCGGGGCATTAAGAATTCATCGAGTTGAGAGGATTTGCTTTGTAAGGGCCTAAATTACATTTTATTAGAAACCAGCTTAATGAGACTTAATGACAGCAACCTCTAACTAAGGAATGTTTAGAGGGACCCTTTACAGGCTGGGCAGCTATGTAGCTGACAGCCATCTCATCTCCTCTAGTTCAGGCCACCATAGATTTGTTGATTTCCAAAGTTGTTTGCAACTGTGGAAACATGTTCTCCAAATACTATCATCTATAAGATGGAACCTCTGTTCTGTGAACAACTTCTCACTTTGAAGGTTCCTAACAAACCCGTAAAGTGGCCTAGTGCAGTTCCGTAACCCCACATCAAGGAGGAGGTCTAGGGAAGAAAGTGTGCAGTGATACAACAAAGGGAACATACATTAGATTTCATTTTCTTCTTGTGACTATATAAAAACTAGGAAAAATATATCACAGAAACATTCGTTTTAGTTAAATGTGGTATTAATGCAGACCCAAGAAACGGGTCATGGCAGGGTGTGTATCAAGACCTGAGAAACAAATATGCCTGCAATACTTCGATGAATTCCTGCAGCTTGTTTCAGAACCCACAGTCCGTCCGTCCGTTCCCCCCCCCTTGTTAGCCCTTCATTTGAGTTTTTCTCCCTCCCGAAATGAATTGCCAGCTATTGAAGGCAGACGGCAACAGGACCTTACCTTATGGGTCATCAACAGTTTGAAGACATTTGAGAGCAGATTCGCCACCTGAAGCTGGATTACAAAAGGAGAAGTTAACAACTGAAAAAAAACCTGTGGTCAAGAAGACTGAGTGACAGGCTGGATTCTTCTAAGTGTTAGCATTTAGTTCTGGTGGTGGGACAAAATTATTGGGCTGCCAACAGCCACCATCAAGATATGATTCTTCCCCCCACCCTGGCCAGGATAAGGAGTTCAGCTATGACCTGTGGTTCTGCTTACTTGCTAGCCCAGGAAGGCTGAGAACATTGGACCTCACAGCAGTACACAACATGCATTAATTTGTTCAATGCCACCACTACATTTTCTGAAGCACCCAGGTTGGCCTTAGCTAACAGGATGCAAGCTGTAACATTTGGCTTAGCAGCTCCTCACAGGGAACCGCAGATGTTGGTGGTAAGTGCTGATGAGGTAAGAGCTGGTCTTTCCATTCTCAGTGCATTCTGAAAGCCAAGTTGCACTGCATTACTGATAAGCAAGGGTGGGACATAGTGCACTCACCTTTCCCAGGGCAATGGTGTTCCCCTGGACCTTAGTCACTAGTTCCGCCATCTCAGCTTTGAACCGCTCGATATCCTGGCACTGGTTAGCACGGGCATGATGAAGGATCAGTTCTGCCACTCTCTCCCCCTGTGAAACAAGTTGAAAAGGAGGATCAGAACCGGATCACTGGTGCCCACAGAGA